GTTGGCCCCTCCTTTTGAAGGTGAACATGTTCTCCCTTTGGAGCCAGACCTGGTCCTCACTGCCTGTCACAGCCTTGTTCATGTCCCCCTCCCCCAGAGGGGGAGCCCCAGCCACAGAACCCACCCCCTCAGCTGAAAAAAACACATGTTGCCAAGGAGAAGTTGGGGCCCAGTCTGCGATCTCCCTTCACCACTGGGATGAGGGGAGGGCATGAGAGGCTGCAGCCTGTTCCATCCTCAGCCCCCGCAGGGCACCAGAGGGGCCCCAGGCAGGAGGCTGTGCATTGTTCTGGAACCAGGGATGTGTTCAAGGACATTTGGTCTCACTTGACCCTTCCGGAACCTACTCCCCTGCCCCCTGAGCTGGGCACGCTCCTGGCCTGTCCTGGGCTCTCGGGAGAACCAGCTTTCAGGAGAGCCAGACTGGTTCTCTCACCCAGCCACCTCCGATGGTGCCAGTGGAGGCCCAGCCAAGGACCTGGAGAGCAGGGAGGGCGCGAGCATGTGGGGTAGCACAGGGGTGGCCGCAGTGAAAACGCCCTTTTCCTGGGGTGCTGGGGGCTGCAGTCCAGGCAGCAGGGGTGCAGAGCTGAGAGGAGCATTGGTCTTGAGCAGCGCCAGGGCCATGTGGGACAGAGGCCTATGACAGAAGGACTGCGGCCCAGCTCCACAGGAGCCTGGCATCTACCCACCACTGCCTGCCACTGCCTGTGTCCACCCTAGACCCTGCTCAGAGCCTTGACGTCCACTTCGCTGCCACCTATGATCACTGTGGGCCCTCTCGCCCGCATGGGAGTCCAGGCTGCGGAGTAAGAGGCAGAGCACCCATCTAAGCGGCATGCCTGGGCCAGGCACCTAGGGATGGAACCAGCAAGGGCCCTGGGCCCAGACCTCAGGCAGCAGGGCCTGCTTCCCTTTGTCTGGCGGACCCCAGGGGTTCACCATAGGGAGGAATCCAGTGGGTGTACTTGGGGGAGGGTTGGGAGGGGTCTTCCACAGGCAGGCAGGATCCCTGGCAGGTAGAAGGGGCAGGAGGGCCTCAAGGCCCCTTGGTGAGCCTTGGCCAAGATGGGGGTTGGAAAACTGTTTCTGGAAACAAGAGACACAGCCCAAGGCCCTGGCAGGGCAAACGCCTCACACTAAACAGCTCCTCCCATTCCTGGGTGTTTGAGAGTCGGGTGCCCAGCCTGGACCTGCGGTGACCAAGGAGGGCCGATCTGCAGACACCAAGACTTCCTGCATCTGTGACTGGGCCTCCTGGGGGCATCTTGACTGTAGACTCCTTCCAGGTGTGGTCCCTGGCTCCTAGAAGCCTACCCAGTCACCTTCCGCCCAGCCTTCAAACACATCAGAGGGTTAACCATTCATGGCCACGCTGAACACTGCTCACAAGATCCGGAAACAAGAACAGGGGGTCAGACTGGATTCCTGAGATGCAAGAACCGCCAGGAAGCGTCTTGCTGCCTTCATGCGTGGATGAGACCCGGGCCTCTCCACGGGAGGACAGGCTGCTGCAGCCTCCAGGGAGCAACCGCGCTTGGGCATGGAGAGTGGGGAGAGCTGCCTGCTAGAGACGGCAGAGGGGGTCGGGAGCGGCCGGAGTGCTTCCGGCCTCTGGCCACCGAAAACCCAGGCAGGGACCTGTCTTTAAGCTCCTGCTGTTGCTAAGCCGACCTGCACAGCAGGACTTGGGAGCCCAGCCCAGGTCCTCTCAGGAGGGGCTTGGCCCCAAAGCTTCTGCGTGGCTCGTTGAGGGCTCACTAGAGACACCTGCAGCTCCTTGAGAGAAAGCAGGACCAGTCCAGCGGCCACGGTGGAAACCACAGGAGGGGCCGAGGGGAGGCGGGTGGGTGCCTGGCATGCCATGCACGGTACCACACGTGTCATGGAGACTGTCCCAAGAGCCCCGGGGCCCAGGGACTCCCCCAAGCACTGAGCAGTGTGAACCCTTGTGTACTCTCCTTGGCCAGGGCCCAATGAATGGGGCCCAGTGAGAAGGGGGTGGGTGAGGAATGGGGCCCCAGTGTCCTGTCGACCCTGGAGCCCTTGGAGTCAGTTAAGTCTGAATGGGAGGTCTACACCACGGTCCTTACCCAACCTTCCTAGTGCTGAGTCCTGAAGCTTGTGTGGTGGGTGTGTGTAGAGCTGACCTCCCTGCAGCCCTGCTGGACTCTGAAGAGGGCCAAGGCCAGTGGGTAGGAGACAGGCCTGGAGCTGGTGCAGAGAGGAATGAGCCCTGCATGGGTTTGATCAAGAAACTCAGCCTCGCGTAGGGACACTCTGGGGCCCGGTGCTGTCCGTGCATGACCTGACAGAAGCCCAGAGCCGCTCTCTCTATGGAGGAGCGCCTGATGGGGGTGGGAGCTAGGCAGAGATCTGCATGCATGCCGAGGAGCCAGGCTTCAAGCCGCGCTGGGGGACCTCCAAGCGGGGCCATCTTCCCTTCTGCATCTGGCTCTGGTGTCTTCCCGCTGCAGACCCAGTGCCCTGCTCACCCACCACGTTCATACGCTGGAGTCCTGGGTCCTCAGAGATCCGTGACACTGCCCCATCCCCAACTTCAAATTCTCTGGGGCTCCACCCACTGGTCTCCCCTACATAAGGCAGTCACCGTAGACTAGAGGGTGCTTTTGAGAGTCAGGTCACTCTATTGTCCAGGCTGGAGTGCAGTGGCACAATGATAGCTCACTGCAGCCTGGGCCTCCAGGGCCCAAGTGATCCTCCCACTTCAACCTCCCTGAGGATACGTGGTTTGTTTGTTTGTTTGTTTGAGACAGGGTCTCACTCTGTCGCCCAGGCTGGAGTGCAGTGGTGCGATCTTGGCACACTGCAGCCTCCACCTCCCAGGTTCAACCCATTCTCCTGCCTCAGCCTCCCAAGTAGTCGGGATCATAGGCATGCATCACCCCACCTGGCTAATTTTTGTATTTTTAGTAGAGATGGGGTTTTGCCATGTTGGCCAGGCTGGTCCCTGAGGATACTTCTTTTTCCCCCCCCGAGATGGAGTTTCCTTCTGTCACCCAGTCTGGAGTGCAGTGGTGCAATCTCAGCTCACTGCAACCTCCACCTCCCAGGTTCAAGCAATTCTCCTGCCTCAGCCTCCCGAGTAGCTGGGATTACAGGCATGTGCCACCATACCCAAATAATTTTTGTATTTTTAGTAGAGACGGGATTTCACCATGTTGGTCAGGCTGGTCTTGAACACCTGATCTCAGGTAATCCACCTGCCTCAGTCTCCCAAAGTGCTGGGATTGCAAGTGTGAGCCACTGTGCCCAGCTGAGGATACTTTTTTTTTTTTTTTTTTTTTTTCCGGACAGAATCTCGCTCTGTCCCAGGCTAGAGTGCAAAGGCATGATCTCGGCTCACTGCAACCTCCGCCTCCCGGGTTCAAGCAATTCTTCTGCCTCAGCCTCCCGAGTAGCTGGGATTACAGGTGCCCGCCACCACGACCGGCTAATTTTTGGATTTTTAGTAGAGATGAGGTTTCACCATGTTGGCCAGACTGGTCTCGAACTCCTGACGTCGTGATCCACCTGCCTCGGCCTCCCAAAGTGCTGGGATTACAGGCGTGAGCCACCACACCCGGCCGGCTGAGGATACTTTTAAGGTCAAAGAGAGTAGCAGAGGTGGAGTTCCTGGGAACAGGGTCATGAGGGGAAGAGGGGGTTCGGAGGGAGGGAGTAGCCACTGGCTACCTCGAGAGAGGGAAGGCTTTGGTGTAACATCGTTCCCCTGCAGTTTTGCTCATCTTTGCTTCCTGCCCTTTCATCACCCAACCGGGCAGGCAGGACAGGGCCTGAGGGGGCAGGGATCCAGTGGGGGCCTCTCTAGACTAACCCCAGCTCAGGACTCCCAGGGCCCCTTCCCTGAGGCCCCGCTGCCCCCGAGCCCAGGTTGGGGATCCCAAGCAGCACGTAGGCAGAGCCAGTGAGCCCCGTTAATCCTATTGAAAGCTCTAAAAGCAGCAAACTCTCAGTCCAGCCTCAGGTCAAGCATCCAGGACGGCTTCAGCCCTCGTGGCTGAGATGGGTGCGCCATCTCTGCGGACACTGTGCAGGGCGTACGATTCATCACTGCCTCCCAAGGATGCCAGCCAGGCCCCCATTGAGATAACTGCTTCCCTACTGGACAAGGCTGGGACCAGCCATCTCGGCTCCGGAACCCCTGGCCTGGGCTGCTGGGTTCAATGGACAAAGACTGTGATTAGAGTCAGAGGGATGGTCTCAGTGACCTCAAGGATAAGGCCAGATCCTTGCACTCTCAATGACCCAAAGCAACAAGTATCCAGAGCAGCAGTGTGGCGCCTTCACGCCCCCACCCATCACCCAGGACAGGGACTGTAGCCTCAGCACTCAACCCGTGTGCCCTGTGTGGGGCCTCTTCCCATGGCACTCACAGGAGAGGTGGGGGTCTCTGGGGTCCGCTGGGGTCCCCCCCTGCAAATGGGGCAAGGAGCTGTCTCAAGGCCTCTGGAGCACACTCAGGTCCTGGCATGGGGCTCCTGGGAGGGCCATGATTCTGGGCTCCATGAGTTCAGAGCAGACGCTTTCTTTTTCCTTGTCCACTGTCAGCCACGCCACCCTTCTCTGGCCCTTAAAAGAACCAGGAAACAGCACGTGACCTGTGGGAAGGAGGCATTCATTCTTTCCTTTCTGTGGGCATGGGGAGGGGACCACAGGGCACATACCCCACCCTGGGCTCCAGCTGAGCAGGGGAGTCAGAGATGACAATTCTTCCAGCTCACAGGCCAGCAGCCCACACACAGGGCAATCAGAAGAACGGAAGGGCACAAGGAGTGCGCAGAGGGAGTCGTTGTCCCTGCCAGAGGTGCCGCACTCTGGGAATGTCCCTCACTCGCCCCATCCTTCTGTCTTGCCCAATCCTGACCAGGGGCAGAAATCTTGCCAAGTGTTTCCGCATGAGTTGCTGGCAATTGCCTCATCTTCCTGGTCTTGGCAAAGGATGAATCAGCCCACGCTAGAGCCCATAAATAGGGCCACCCAGGTGAGCCTCTCACTCGCCTCCACTCCTGCCAGGCCCAGTAGCCACCACAGCGCCTGCTTCCTCAGCCCTGAAATCATGCCCCTAGGTCTCCTGTGGCTGGGCCTAGCCCTGTTGGGGGCCCTGCATGCCCAGGCCCAGGACTCCAGCTCAGACCTGATCCCGGCCCCACCTCTGAGCAAGGTCCCTCTGCAGCAGAACTTCCAGGACAACCAGGTAAGGGGCCAAGAGGGGCGCCTGCAGGCGGGGCCCGGGAAAGAGTGGGAGCAGAGGGGAGGAGAGGTGAAGAGACTCAGGAGGAGCGTTGGGCAGGACTCCAGGTTTCCAGGACACCAGGAGTCCGAGGTCCAGGTTTCAGCTCACTGTGCCACCAGGGTCCCTGAAGGAAACCATGCCCCTTCCCCCCATCCCCACCCCCATCCCAGCCTGAACAGACTTCTCCAGGTCCACGTCCCCTCTCCCATAACCCCCATTGTCCAAGGAAGGTGGGAACACTTTTAGTCCCCCCCGCACAGATGAGGAAACTGAGGCTCAGGAAGGCCCACCAGCCATGTGCCTCCTCCTGTGAGGAGGTCACCCTCCTCCCTGCCAGACTCAGAACCGCCTCTTCCCCCAGGCCTCCCTTCTAGGCTGATGGCCTCCTGCGCCTGCCCCTTCACCAGTGCAGGTCCAGCCTGGGCCCTGCTGCCCAGCTAGAGGGGCTCGTGGTTCCAGGCTGGGCGGCTCAGAGGTGCCACAGGGACAGAGCTGGAGGGGTGGCTCCTAGGGCCACTCCTGGGCTGTGCCTATCATCAGTCCCCTGCAGTTCCAGGGGAAGTGGTATGTGGTAGGCCTGTCAGGGAATGCAGTTGGCAGAAAAGACAAAGCCCCGCTAAAGATGTATGCCACCATCTATGAGCTGAAAGAAGACAAGAGCTACAACGTCACCTCCATCCTGTTCAGGTGAGGGCTGACATCTCCTGGGGGTATGAGAGGCAGACTGATACCACAGGCAAGGGATGGCCAAAGCTGAGGGATCCTGTCGTTCACCTCACTGTTCTGCCCGGAATTCATCTGTGTTCATCCTTCCTGCGTTCCTTAGGGCAACGTTTATAGCGCAGACACACAGACAGTGGTAGCGATGGACACGCACAGTCGTTAGAAAACAAGACGGAGAGAGGAGGGGTGCCGGGAGCGGGAGGAGGGGACACCGGATCCAGCCTGGAACCCCACCCAGGGCCTTCATGGAGGGCTTCCAGGAAGGTGGTCTTAAAAGAGCCAACCTGCTTCAAAAGGAAGTGAGGGGTGTTCCCGGCAGGGGCCGGAGTCAGAAAGAGCCCCACTTCAGGAAGGAGCAAGCCATCACAAGGTCGCCCTGAGCAGAGCTGCTGAGCAGCCTGGTGGGGCAGGCAGCCACACTAGCACGTAGCACAGTCCTCAGGCCCTGCCCCGGCGGATCTGCTGCAGAGTGGCTTAGAGTTGGCTGCAGGGTGGGGAGACTTGGTGGGGTGCAGCTTGGGAGGTCGGGAGACCAGCGAAAGTGAAGCAGGGCCATCACAGGTGGGAGAGAACAGGTGCAGGGTGAAGGGGCAGGGAGCCAGGGATCAGCCGTTCCCAGTGGGTTTCTTTTTTCTTTTTCTTTTTTTTTTTTTTTGAGACGGAGTTTCACTCTTGTTGCCCAGGCTGGAGTGCAATGGACGGTCTCGGCTCACCACAACCTCCACCTCAAGTGATTCTCCTGCCTCAGCCTCCCTAGTAGCTGGGATTATAGGCCTGTGCTACTATGCCCGGCTAATTTTGTATTTTTAGTAGAGACAGGGTTTCTCCATGTTGGCCAGGCTGGTCTTGAACTCCCGACCTCAGGTGATCCGCCTGCCTCGGCCTCCCAAAGTGCTGGGATTACAGGCGTGAGCCACCACACCCGGCCTCCCCAGTGGGTTTCTGACTGGCAGCTGAGTGGATTGGGATTAGGGCATTTGTGGAGCAAGGAGCAGAATACAGACAGGTTGGGGAGCTCAGCCCTGGGGTGTCAGGGGATGGGAAGTGGGAGGACTCAAGGATGAGGTCAGGTTTGACCCGAGAGGTAGAGGAACGGTTGGCATGGAGCAGACTGGAAGTACCAAGGTGGATCCCCAGGAGAGGGTATAGGAAGAGAAGCAGCAAGCTGAGCGCAGGGGAGAAATGCAGGGTTGCTGTGTGTGTGGGGGGGGAAACCACCCAGGGAGGCAGCCAAAGGAAAGAAGGACATGGGGTGCTGGAGGGTCTGAGCAGGGTCCAGGGGCCCCAGGCAGCAGACCCGGACGGACAGCCTGGGATCAGCTCGGGGGGAAGGCCCAGGCCCATCTCGGCTGGGTGGGGTAGGGCCCCTCCAGATAGTTGGGGATGAGCCATCACGGGTTGGGCCGGACTGAGAGCATCAGAACCCTGCTGCTGCCCTGGCCCCACCTTGTCCGGCACAGGAGGCCCAAGCCTGGGTTGTCTCCCCTCTCACCCACCCATCTCTCCCTCCCAAGGAAAGAGAAGTGTGACTACTGGATCAGAACTTTTGTTCCAGGTTCCCAGCCTGGCGAGTTCACACTGGGCAACATTCAGAGTGAGTCCTGAGTGAGGTGGGGCACTGAGCTGGGGCTCTGGGGAGCTGGGTGGGGGCACAGACCTTCCTGCCCCTCCACACGGATGTGTTGTATGGGGAGAAGCCCGAGCTGATGGGCTGGGGAGGGAGGGGGCAGCTCCCTCCTCCCATCCAGGGCAGGGCTGACCCCTCACCATCCATGCCTGCAGATCACCCTGGATTAACGAGTTACGTCGTTCGAGTGGTGAGCACCAACTACAAAGAGTATGCCATGGTGTTCTTCAAGAAGGTTTCTCAAAACAAGGAGTACTTCAAGATCACCCTCTACGGTGGGTCCTCTCCCATCCCCTCGGGGACTGGCTCCTGATCACACTTAGCTGGAGGGGAGGCCGGTCCCCACCTGCAGGAAGAGGTCATTCCATAGACCCTCCATGAGGAAGGGATCTGAGGCCTCATCCACTCATTCAACGATATTTATGTGGTGTCTACCGGCCACTCACTGGCCATCTTGGTCACAGGGAGAACCAAGGAGCTGACTTCGGAACTAAAGGAGAACTTCATCCGCTTCTCCAAATCTCTGGGCCTCCCTGAAAACCACATCGTCTTCTCTGTCCCAATTGGTAATGGCCAGTCTGGATGAGGGGACGGGGACATGGGAACTGTTCAGGCGGGATGCTTCCCTGCCAGGGAGGAGGGAGAGGAGAGACTCAGTCCTCAGCTTCAGTCACCGGAGCAGTGGACGGTCCAGGAGCTCCTTGGAAGCCACTCTGGGTCCAGGAAGACTGTGCCCCACCCCAGGGTCTATGGGACTCCCAGGGACCCGGGCCCCAAGTGCTCTTTCCTGGCAGTTTAGCCAGGGTCTGCCCAGATGAGCATTTCAGACCCAGGCTCGAGTATCCATTTCTCAGTCTCACTGGCCTGACACCTCCGGCCACCCTCCCAGGCCCCCTTGTTCTGGGCCATCTTCCCCCACCCTCCCAGGCCTCATCACCCTGGGTTTTGCTGTCCTGGCTGTCCTCCCTCCCCTGGGGACTTGCTCACCACTGACTTGGGAGCTGTCCTTGACTCCAGGGAGCCTGGCTTGGGCAGGAGGCTCCAGTCAGGCCATTCAGAGAGCCACTGGCCTCTCCCAGACTGAGAGGCTGCCTGGACTAGTAAACAGGCGGGAGACCTGGGTGCCCGAGCAGCCTGGGAGCTGGGCCTCACTCAGGGCTCTCCCTCCCCAGGCCTTTCTCCCATATCCCCTGCCCCGCCATCTGCCCCTCTGTCGCCCCATCCCTGAAAGGAACCCCCACATCTTCTGCAGCTGGGCCAGGTGGGGCAGGGGCTGCCCAGGGACAGTGCAGAGGAACTGGCAGTCAGGGATCACATACACACACTCACACACACACAGAGCTGCCTGTTCTGACGGACTTTCTCCCCAACAGACCAGTGTATCGATGGCTGAGTGCACAGTGAGTGTGTCCGGGCGGCTGGGAGGGGGCTTGTGGGAGGCCAGAGTGCAGTGGGCTGGGGGTCTTGGGCCTGCCTTTGTTCTTCCCCCTGCCACCAGCACTGCTGCTGTCTTTATTCTGCTGTCCCCATCTCAGGTGCCTCCCATCTCCCCGCCCATCACCCTCATATCCACCTCTGTCCAGGGTGCCGCCAGCTGCCTCACCAGCCCGGACACCATTGAGGGAGCTGGGAGATGCTCCCCACCGTGCCACCCACCCAGCTGCCCCCCAGGCCACCCCGCTGATGGAGCCCCACCTTGTCTGCTAAATAAACATATGCCCCCAGGCCTCTGAGTCCACACTCTTTGACCCCTGGGTCTTTGAGGAAGGAGAGGGGCAAGGGGCTCCCACTGGCATCACTCCCAGGGTTTGCACCCCCAGGATGGAGCCCAGCGAACCCAGCCTGGGTGTTAGGGCTGCAGAGTGAAGACACAAGCCCCCCCCGCCCCGTCATCACCAGCAGCTTTGTGGCTGACTGCCCTGAGTCCTTCCCACGTGGTGTAACACCGCACTCCCTCCTGTTATGACATGGAGCCTAGCCCCAGAGCAGCGGCAGTTCTCACATTCCCCTGCCTAGGAGGGTGCCCAGTCCATCGCAGACACACTGGGCCACACCCCATCAGAGTGTGGCAGGGGCATGCGCAGCTGGAGGCCATTCCAGGCAGAGAGGGTCGGCTTGGCGGGGGTGGTCCCTGGCCCTCTGCCGCCCACTGTGGGCCCCATGGGTGAGGAGCCATGTCCATGCTAACCCCGTTTCAGAGCGCTGCCCTTTACTCCACACCTCCCCGCCTGATGACATCCAGGCCACGTTGGCGGTGCATTCTGAAGCCAGGGGCAGGGCCAGGGGGAAGTGAGGAGTGGCTATGCCGCCAAGAATCCAGTTCCCCAGGACTCAGAGAGCTCCAGGCCTGCACTCATCACTTGGCTGCCCGTGTCAGGCCTGACAAGCCCTTGGTCCCCCACTGGCCACAGAGGCAACCTCTGCAGGTTCACGTCACACACAGGCACTCCCTCCCCAGCCCCTTTTCCCGGTGCAAGGACAGAGGCCAGAGTGGGTGGGGTTCTGCGGAAACCCCATGGACAGACACACCACCCCGTTCACCCTCGGCTGGGCTAAGGAGAGATGCTGGTACTGTGAGCCAGCTCCAGCCTCGGACCCCAAGGAGCAGGACAGGCCTGAGACCCAGGCCCACCAAATGTTGCCAAAGCCTTGAAAGTCTGGTCCAGACTCCTGGAAGAGGCCAGCTTGGGGCAGCCCGGGCTTTGAGAGAGGGATGGGACTGTTCCCAAGCCTAGAGAGGCTCTGGGCTGAGAAAGGCACCCAAGGACTGCTAGCTGGCCAAGGGAGTGGACATCGCACCCAGCACGCCTGGCCCTTGGGCTCCAAATGGAGCAGCAGATCCAGTTTCCTAGCTTGGCCCAAGCAAGGCAGCTTCTTGTCGCCCCTGGGCCTGCTGAGCCTTTCAGGATCAAAAACTCTTAGGGCCTAGAAGGGCTTTGTGTTTCCTTCCAGGTGGCCAGAGGTTTGAGTTTCCTATTGCCACTATTGAAAGAGGCAGGATGGCCAGGCGCGGTGGTTCACACCTGTAATCCCAGCACTTTGGGAAGCCGAGGTGGGTGGATCACTAGGTCAGGATATCGAGACCAGCCTGGCCAACATGGTGAAACCTCGCCTCTACTAAAAATACAAAAAAATTAGCTGGGCGTCACAGCGCGCGCCTGTAGTCCCAGCTGCTTGGGAGGCTGAGGCAGGAGAATTGCTTGAACCCAGCAGGCAGAGGTTGCAGTGAGCTGAGATTGTGCCATTGCACTCCAGCCTGGGCAACAGAGCGAGCGAGACTACGTCTCAAAAAAAAAAAAAGGCCGGGCGCGGTGGCTCAAGCCTGTAATCCCAGCACTTTGGGAGGCCGAGACGGGCGGATCACGAGGTCAGGAGATCGAGACCATCCTGGCTAACACAATGAAACCCCGTCTCTACTAAAAATAAAAAAAAAAAATTAGCCGGGCGAGGTGGCGGGCGCCTGTAGTCGCAGCTACTCGGGAGGCTGAGGCAGGAGAATGGCGTAAACCCGGGAGGCGGAGCTTGCAGTGAGCCGAGATAGCGCCACTGCACTCCAGCCTGGGCGACAGAGCGAGACTCCGTCTCAAAAAAAAAAAAAAAAAAAAAAAAAAAAAGGCAGGCAGACAAATATCTTGGCAGATAGGGGCAAGTCCCCGGTGAAACCCCACCTCCAAGCCAAAGACAGTTTAAAGCCTGAAAGCTATGCTACAACTCAAATCCGTGGACCAGATTAAGACCCTGTCATCCTACTTGCCATGCTTTCCTCTGATTGATCCCCACCCTTCACCTATTTTACATTTTTACATATACCTCCCCATCCCTAAACATTTTTTTTTTTGAGACGGAGTCTTACTCTGTCGCCCAGGCTCAAGTGCAGTGGCATGATCTCAGCTCACTGAAAGCTCCCCCTCCTGGGTTCACACCATTCTCCTGCCTCAGCTTCCCAAATAGCTGGGACTACAGGCGCCCGCGACCACGCCTGGCTAATTTTTTGTATTTTTAGTAGAGATGGGGTTTGCACTGTGTTAGCCAGGATGGTCTCGATCTCCTGACCTCATGATCTGCCCGCTTCAACATCCCAAAGTGCTGGGATTACAGGCATGAGCCACTGCGCCTGGCCTGTTTTTTTTTTGTTTTGTTTTGTTTTGTTTTGTTTTGTTTTTTAAAGACACGGAGTCTTGCACTATCACCCAGGCTGGATGGAGTGAAGTAGCAAAATCTTGGCTCACTGCAACCTCCACTTCCCGGGTTCAAGAGATTCTCCTGCCTCAGACTCCCAAGTAGCTAGGATTACAGGTGCCCACCACCATGCCCAGCTAATTTTTTGTTTTTGTATTTTTAGTAGAGACAGGGTTTCACCATGTTGGCCAGGCTGGTCTCAAACTCCTGACCTCGTGATTCGCCCGCCTCATCCTCCCAAAGTGCCTAACTGGTTTTTTACACTGTCATGCCCACCTTTGAGTAGTGCCTTTGTTTTAGCCTTTTTTGCATACTCACAAGCCAGTTAGCATGCATTCCCCATTCTGAGTCCAGAAAAGCCCAGGACCCAGCCACACTGAGGGAGAGACTGCCCAACTTGGGGTGCGGGACCACCTTCACATCCCCTCTTTGCTGAGAGCTGTTCCATCACTCAACAAAATCATTCTCTGTCCTCCTCACCATTTGACTGGATACAGCATATCCTCATTCTTCTTGGATTCGGGACAAGAGCTTGGGACCCACCAAGTGAGGGTACAAAGAAAGCTGTAACAGTGGTGGGGTTGAGCCGGCTCTGGAGCCACAGGCCAGAGCAGATAACAGGGCTGACATCTGCCTGGGCAGGGGTGTCACTGGCTGGGGGTTTCCAGCTGGTAGAATGACCAAGAAAAATCCTGTGTCACTATCACAAATCACCACAAACTGTGGGTTTAAAACAACACCTATATATTCGCTTTCAGTTCTGGAGGTCAGAAGTTTGAAACCAGTTTCACTGGGCAGAAATGAGTGTCCACAGAGCTGTGCTCCCTCCAGAGGCTCTCAGGGAAGCTGCTCCCTGCCTTTCCCAGCTTCTCATGCTGTCTTCCTTGCACCCTTTAGTCTCTGGCTCCTTCCTCCTTCAAAGGCAGCGGAGCATCAGCAAATCTCTTTATCTGCTGAGGGCCTCACTCTCAGTCAAGGAGGGCAGGCTTGGCCGGGCGCAGTGGCTCAAGCCTGTAATCCCAGAACTTCGGGAGGCTGAGACGGGTGGATCACGAGGTCAGGAGATCGAGACCATCCTGGCTAACACGGTGAAACCCCGTCTCTACTAAAAAATACAAAAAACTAGCCAGGCAAGGTGGCGGGCGCCTGTAGTCCCAGCTACTCGGGAGGCTGAGGCAGCAGAATGGTGTGAACTCGGGAGGCGGAGCTTGCAGTGAGCTGAGATCCGGCCACTGCACTCCAGCCTGGGCGACAGAGCGAGACTCCATCTCCAAAAAAAAAAAAAAAAAAAAAAGGAGGGCAGGCTAGGCTGGGCACCACGGCTCACATCTGTCATCTGAGCATGTGGGGAGGCTGAGGTGGGAGGATCACTTGAGCCCAGGAGTTTGAGATCAGCCTGGGCAAGATGGTGAAACCCTCAATCTATAAAAATAAAAATACTAGCTGGGTGTGGTGGTGGTGCACCTGTAGTCTCAGCTAATCCAGAGGCTGAGGTGGGGAGTTTGAGGCTGCAGGGAACTATGATTGTACCATTGCACTACAGCCTGGGCCACACAGCAAGACCCTGTCTCTAAAAAAAAAAAAAAAAAAAAAAATTAAAAAAATTAAGCTTTAAAAAGGAGGTGAGCCTGACCTGGATGAGAGGCCATTCCCCAAAATTCTTTGGGTGCTGGTTCAGTGTCCTTCTTGCTCTCGCTCAATCTACTTCAGGGAGAAGGCAGGGCTGACCATGTGCAAGTCGGTGGAGACCCTCACAGCAGACTTCAGACTCCACCATGCCCCTGCCTTCCTCAGGTAGAACAGTGAAGGTGGCTTCTGGGACAAGAGAGTATTCCACCCCATTGTCACTGTCTGGGATACACGCTTGGGCCTGATCTGGCATTGAGGATGGCCTGCCCACAGGGACAGCCAGTGTGAGACCAGGTCCAGGCTGCTGCAGCCATGAGACCTCCATGCACTATAGCTACTGGAGTCCCAGTAGGTGACCCCTCTGCCTAGAACGTGGGCCTAATTCTCAGCTGGACCCCTGGTCAGGATCATAGCTCTGGGTCCAACCCAGGGGTGACACTTGCCAGCTGGGTGACTGTGGGCAAGCCGCCCTCTCCTAGCTGGGAAGTGGAGTGTGGGATGACAGCAGCTGGGCCGATTATCATGAAGCCTTTCTTGATGAGCAGTCTGTGAAGCACTCTGCCCACGGCCCTCCACCCTCCACTGCAGCACCCACAGGAGGGGGCGGCAAACCTTTCCTTTATTGGAGAATGTGACACACAGTCCTGGGTGGGTTTGAGGTGAGCTTGAACTAAGGGTAGCCTCACCCCTGTCCTGCTCCTGTCCCAGTTAAGGGGCTCTTCCTAAAATGAACTATTCCTACTTCTCTTTATTTAAAAAAAAAATTAAATCTAGCCAGGCATGGTGGTTTACACCTATAACTTTGTGGGGCCGAGGCGGGTGGATCACCTGAGGTCAGGAGTTCGAGACCAGCCTGGCCAACATGGTGAAACTAAAAATACAAAAATTAGCCAGGCATGGTGGCACACACCTGTAATCCCAGCTACTTGGGAGGCTGAGGCAGGAAAATTGCTTGAACCCAGGATGCAGAGGTTGCAGTGAGCCGACATCGCACCACTGCACTCTAGCCTGGGCGACAGAGGGAGACTCTATCTCCAAAAAAAAAAAAAAAAAAATTTAAACTTTAATTTAATTTTTTTTTCTCTTTGACTTCTCAAAGTTCAACTTATAAAGGTAGCTCCAGGGGCCAGGCGCGTTGGCTCACGCCTGTAATCCCAGCACTTTGGGAGGCCGAGGCAGGCGGATCACGAGGTCAAGAGATCGAGACCATCCTGGCCAACATTGTGAAACCCCGTCTCTACTAAAAGTACAAAAATTAGCTGGGCGTGGCGGTGCGCACCTGTAGTCCCAGCTACTCTGGAGGCTGAGGCAGGAGAATTGCTTGAACCTGGGAGGTGGAGGTTGCAGTGACCCAAGATCATTGTACTCCAGCCTGGCGACAGGGCAAAACTCCGTCTCAAAAACAAAAACAAAAAAGGTAGGTCCAGGACGGGCACGGTGGCTCACACCTGTAATCCCAGCACCTTGGGAAGCCGAGGCAGGTGGATCACTTGAAGTTAGAAATTTGAGACCAGCCAGGGCAACATGGTGAAACCCCAACTCTACTAAAAATAAAAAAAAATCAGTCAGGTGTGGTGGCATGCACCTGTAATCCCAGCTACTCGGGAGGCTGAGGCACAAGAATTGCTTGAACCCGGGGAGGAGAAGTTGCAGTGAGCTGAGATCATGCCACTGCACTCCAGCCTGGCCAACAGAGCGAGACTCTGTCTCAAAACAAACAAACAACAAACAAACAAAAGTAGGTCTGCTCCAGGCCAAACTTTCTTTTTTTTTTTTTTTTGGAAACGGAGTTTCTCTTTGTTGTCCAGGCTGGAGTGCAGTGGTGCAATCTCAGCTCACTGCAACCTCTGCCTCCCGGGTTCAAGTGATTCTCCTGCCTCAGCCTCCTGAGTAGCTGGGATTACAGGCGCACGCCACCACACCTGGTTTATTTTTGTATTTTTAGTAGAAATGGGGTTTCGCCATGTTGGTCAGGCTGGTCTCAAACTCCTGACCTCGTGATCCGCCTGCCTCAGCCTCCCAAAGTGCTGAGATTACAGGCATGAGCCACTGCACCCGGCCTCACATTTAATTTTTTTTATTTTTATTTTTTGAGATGAAGTATCACCCTGTCACCCAGGCTGGAGTGCAAGGGCACAATCTCTGGTCACTGCAACTTCTGCCTCCCAGTTCAAGTGATTCTCCTGCCTCAGCCTCCTGAGTAGCTGCAACTATAGGGGTGTGCCACCAAACCTGGCTAATTAAACTTTTTAAAAATTAATTAATTATTATTTTTAAAGACAGAGTCTCACTCTGTCACCCAGGCTATAGTGCAGTGGTGCAGTCATAGCTCACTGCAGCCTCGAACTCCTGGGCCCAAGTGATCCTCCTGCCTTAGCCTCCCAAGCAGCTGCGACTAAGGTGCATGCCACCAGGTCTGGCTAATTTTTTTTGTACTTTCTGTAGAGATGGGGGACTGAGTCTCACTATGTTTCCCAGGCTGGTCTCCAACTCCTAGGCTCAAGCAATCCTCTCATCTCAGCCTCCCAAAGCGCTGGGATTACAGGTGGGAGCCATCCCGCCTAATGTTCCTGTTTCTCTTTTCCAGAGCTGGAGTCCAGCCTGATCCCCACCCACAGGTTGTAACCAATGAGCCCTAAGAGAAGCGCTGGCTGGCTGGGTGCGGTGGCTCACGCCTGTAATCCCAGCACTTTGGGAGGCCGAGACGGGCGGATCACGAGGTCAGGAGATCGAGACCATCCTGGCTAGCACAGTGAAACCCCGTCTCTACTAAAAAATACAAAAAAATTAGCCGGGCGAGGTGGCGGGCGCCTGTAGTCCCAGCTACTCGGGAGGCTGAGGCAGGAGAATGGCGTGAACCTGGGAGGCGGAGCTTGCAGTGAGCTGAGATCCGGCCACTGTACTCCAGCCTGGGCGACAGAGCGAGACTCCGTCTCAAAAAAAAAAAAAAAAAAAAAAAAGAAGCGCTGGAGACCAGGAAGGCCCAGATCCAGGGGTAGGGGTGTTGGGTCCTCCCCATTGGGGTGCAGGCAGAGAGGCGAGGAGGAAGGAGACCCTTCGTGACTCTCAGCGAGGCTGTGAAGAGGAATGTCCTGAAGCCACAGGAGGTATGGAAACCCCGTTTCCAAGGCTGGGCCCAGTAGCTCATGCCGGTAACCCCAGCATTTTGGGAGGCCGAGGCGGGTGGATGGCTCGAGCTCAGGAGTTCGAGAGCAGCCTGGGCAACATGGCGAAACCCCCGTCTCCAAAAAATACAATAGCCAGCGTGGTGCACCCGCCTGTAGTCCAGCCACTCTGGAGGCTGAGGTGGCAGGATCGCTTCAGGCTGGGAGGCAGAGGTTGCAGTGAGCCGAGATCACCCCACTGCATTCCAGCCTGGAAGACAGAGCCAGACCCTATCTCAAAAAATAACAAGGAAACCCGTTTTCGATTTCGCCCAGGCGGAGGGGTCGAAGCAGCAGATGGGCTTGGGAGGTCTCCCGCCCCTCCTCCTGGACCTCCCTACTCCTGGGCTTTTCCAGGGACAGCACCGTGGTGGCCCCGCCCAGCGCCCAGGAGACGGGTGAAGCCAGCGGCGGAATGGGCGGAGTTCGACTGTGAGGCAGGTGGAGGTGAGACTCCGGCGGTGGGGGCGGAGTCTGGACGCGGGGCGGGGGCGGAGTTCCGGCTGGGGGGCGGGGCGGGGCGGAGCGAGATCTGCGGGATTCCGGCTTCAGGGGTGGGGCCCCGGCCTCTGGGCGGAGATCTGCTGCCGCGTTCCACCCTTCCGGCCCGGTGTTCTATCCACCGCCTCCACCTTCCATCCGGCGCCGGCTTTCGGCGCGACGGTCGCCGCGTTCCATCGTCGCGCGGCCCTTCGGGCGCCCGAGCCCGCAATGTCGGGCCCCAACGGGGACCTGGGGATGCCGGTGGAGGCGGGAGCGGAAGGCGAGGAGGATGGCTTCGGGGAAGCAGGTAACCCGAGGGGGCTGCTGGAGCAACCTTGCTTTTTCAGGGCTGCCCTCCCGGGAAGGGGAATCGGGATGGGGTCTTGGAAGGGAACAAAGAACCCACCCCATTCCGCCCCGAGTGGGTCCGGAGTTGTAGGTGCTGTCTCGGATGCAGGGCGAGCACCCGCGAGCCGGTCGCCAGCTCCGTGAGAGCTGCGGGTCACCAGTCCCCTTTTACAGATGGGGAAATTGAGGCAGCTTCGGGGACACTCGCCCTTGTGGGCCTTGCTCCACCACTTCCTTCAGTCCTGGGGGGAGACCGAGGCACCTGAGGCAGGGTTGAGCTTGGCCGGCTTGGCTTAGCGGAGAGGCCGGGCTGGGGCGTGGGGTTGGGGGGGCGCGGGGGCGTCGCTCTGCCGAGTCAGCATCCCCAGCCACTTGGCTTTGCTGGTGTAGCCTCGCAGCCTTGCCAAATGTCAGCAGCTTACAGAGCAGCCTTTTGCGTGCTTACAAGTGCAGGGGTGGGGTGTGGAGAGAGAACCATCAGCTCCCTTCTCACATTCTTCAGCCTCAGTTTCCCCCTCTATAAAATAGGAATAATGATTAGTGTCTCCTGCACCGGGATGTGTCAGCATTAAATGCAAAAAATAAATGGGAAATGCTTAGCAGGTTCTAGCATGCAAGAGTTCAGTAAATGGTTATTGTCATTATTCTCTTTGGTAAAGATTGGCATGTTAACATACACTGAGGATTTAGTAAATGTGGTGTAAGTATGGCGCATGCTCTTTGTTTTGTTTGGGGTAACAGCTTTATTGAGCTATACAACTTACCCATTTAAACTGTACAGTTCAGTGGGCTTTTGTGTATTCCCAGGGCTGTGCATCCATCACCACAATAGTTTTAGGTAGGTTTGCATTGGGCAATGCTGTTGGGAGCATCAGGAAGAGCTTCCCAGGAGGTCACATTGAGTGGATGCTGGCAGACAGGACTTAGGACAGTGGTGTCCCAGGCAGAAGCAAAGGCTTGGAACTGGGAAGTACCCTTGACACAGATAAAGCCTGGCCTGGAGGGGTGTGGGGCACCTGCCTCCCCAATTCCTCCTCCCAGCCTGTATCCCAGGACACAGAATTCAAAATATTGATAATAATGATCATCCACTAAGTACTTGCTGTGGCCAGATCCTGTCTGAACTCTTTTTTTTTGAGTTGGAGTCTTGTTCTGTTGCCCAGGCTGGAGTACAGTGCATGATCCTGGCTCACTGCAACCTCTGCCTTCTGGGTTCAAGCGATTTTCATGTCTCAGCCTCCCAAGTAGCTGGGACTATAAGTGACCACCACGCCTGGCTATTTTTTTTTTTTTTTTTTTTTTTGAGACGGAGTCTCGCTCTGTCGCCCAGGCTGGAATGCAGTGGCCGGATCTCAGCTCACTGCAAGCTCTGCCTCCTGGGTTTACGCCACTCTCCTGCCTCAGCCTCCCGAGTAGCTGGGACTACAGGCACCCGCCACCTTGCCTGGCTAGCTTTTTGTATTTTTTAGTAGAGACGGGGTTTCACCGTGTTAGCCAGGATGGTCTCGATCTCTTGACCTCGTGATCTGCCCGTTTTGGCCTCCCAAAGTGCTGGGATTACAGGATTTTTATATATTTTTAGTAGAGACAGTGTTTCACCATGTTGGCCAGGCTGGTCTCGAACTCCTGACCTCAGGTAATCCACCCGCCTTGGCTTCCCAAAATGCTGGGATTACAGGCGTGAGCCACCACGCTGGCCACTGTCTGAACTCTTGATATGTTTGAATCCTCACGACCACCCAGTTTTCCCTTTTTTCCAGAAAGGTGCAACAACTTGCTGGGGTAAAGCAGAGCTGGAATTCAAACCCAAGTGCCCCTGACCTCCAAGTCCAATCCTGAGTTTCAACTCTGTTACCAACCTGGAGGATCCTGGGCAGGTTCCTTCGGAGGCCTTGGTTTCCCTAGCTATATACCACGAGGGGGTTGGACTTTAAGATGCAGCCAATTTCCCAGGACTCTGTCCTCTGTGAGGGTGGCTGGGAATGGGTGCCCTTTCCCAGAACACAGGCACAAGTGCACCCATAACCCAGATAGGCTCCTCCAGCTCCTCCACTGGCTGCTTCCCTCTTGGTCTCAAGCTGGCAGCTGAGTGTATCTGAGTCATGGGCTGGCTCAGAACTGGGTCCCGCAGTGGGCACAGGCCCAGACCTTGAGTCCTCAGGGACACTGTGTTGCTGAGCAAGGCAGCTCTGGAGTGGCCGTGGAGGGGAGGGAGTGATGGTTTCTAGTGGAGATCAGGGAAGACTTCTTGGAGGAGGCATTTTGAGCTGGTCCTTGATGGGCTGTTGTGGTTGAGGCATTCTAGGTTGCAGGGATAGTTGAGCAATGGCGGAGAGGCTGGAAAGTCAGAGGCTTCATTCATTCACTCACTCAGTCATTCAACAAATGCTTATTGCAAAACTGTGAGGGTGCCAGGGAGCCAGCAGCGAACACAGGACCATTCAGCTTTCATGGGGAAACAGAACAGCACTCAGATAAGCACAGCAGTCAATCCTGGAGAGGGTCGTGGAGGGCTGAGGAGGGCTAGGGGCTCAGCATAGAGGCCTGATCCAGTCTGGGGCATTGGGTGGGCTCCCGGTGGTGACATCCATACTGAGACTTGAAGGATGAGTGGGACTCATCCAGGAGGAGAGGAGGGAAGGAAGATGGGAGGACCCAGCACATTCCAGGCAGAGACAGCAGCATGTTCAAAGGGCCTGAGGTAGGTAAAGGCAGGTGTGAGAGAGGAAAGGAAGAGGCAGGGAGGCAGGGCTAGCTAGGAGGCAGGGGCTGGGAGACTCCGCTGGGTGTTTTACCCTGAGGGAGCCACAGAAGGGCTGGCAAACAGGGCCCATCTGGGGACAGGGGCCTTGAATGCCCAACTCAGGAATGTGGGCTCTGGCCACTAAGCAGCTGCTGCAGAAAGTGCAGAGACTTGGCACCTGGCCGGACTTCCCATGTAGGACACTGGCTTGCCACCCTGTGACCACCCTAACCCTAGAAAAAAGGATGCAGTACTCAGGTGTCATTCATTCAAAGCCATTCCTCTTTTGGTATCCACCCATTTTCCAGACGGTGACACTGAGGCTCAGGCAGGAGTAGGGACTTGCACAAAGCCCTTTGGGAAGCAGGCTGGGAAACGGTGGAGGGAGGGTGGCCATTAGCCCCAAGGAGACACAGGATCTGGGCTCTGTCTTTCGCCTTCCTCCCAGAATACGCTGCCATCAACTCCATGCTGGACCAGATCAACTCCTGTCTGGACCACCTGGAGGAGAAGAACGACCACCTCCACGCCCGCCTCCAGGAGCTGCTGGAGTCCAACCGGCAGACACGCCTGGAGTTCCAGCAGCAGCTCGGGGAGGCCCCCAGTGATGCCAGCCCCTAGGCTCCGAGAGCCCCCAACCGGGACCCAACCCTGCCTCCCTGGGCTAGGCTCTGGCCTGGGTACTCACCTCCTGGCTTAGACACCTTCTCAAGGGCTGGTCTTCAGGGTCCCCTGGTGGGTCTGCCTACCTGGACCACCCTTCCTGCCTGGGCCTCCCCTTGGCCTACCTGGGCCAGCCCCCACTGCCTGGCATCCCCTCCTGGGGCCAAGAGTGGGGCCTGCAACCCATCCACATGCCTGCCCACCCAACTCCTGGGCACTCCCCACTCTGCCCAGGCCTTGAGTGTCCACATTAAATGGGTCTCCCACACCGCTGTGCCTCTCTCCTCTGTATCCCAGGACGAGAACCCCAGGAGCTGCTGGAGGTGAACAGGGCCATCTAGGTGTTCAGGTGTTGATCATGTACTGGCGGCTCAGAGGCCAGGTGGTGGGGCTGGGGTTCTTGGTCACCTGTACTTCTGGACACAGAAGGTGCAGGTGAGGGCAGGGCTTCCTCCCTACATTCCTGGCCAGCAGCTGCGTCCTAGCCCAGAAGCCCAATTGAGGCTGCTGGACAGGCTGTGGGACCTTGTGTGATGCTCTCAGCCTCTCTGGGTACTAAGGCCTTTTGCCAAGACAGCCAACACCAAGACATGCTATGCAGCCTCCGCATTGCCCTCCTACTCCTGGCCTGTCTCCCCAGTAACAGGGTTGGTCTGGTCATTTATCTCTCTGGGTCTTTCTAATGAGGAAATAGCAGACGTAAAGGGCCAACTCAGCCCGAGCCCTATCCACCCATGATTCATCTTACGGCCGCCTGACCAGGAGGGCGGGGTGCCTGCTAGTGAACCAAGAAGAGAACCAGAGGGCCTGAGCAGCAAGGACCCCACTCCTGCACTCCAAAGGGTGCAGCTGGAGAGCCAGGCCAGCATGGGTCAGAGAGGTCAGGCCCAGGTCAAATCCCAGCCACTTAGCAACTGCGTGGCCTTCAGCAAGTCACTTGACCTTGCCAGGCCTCCAGCCAAAGGAACTTCCCCAGGTCTGATATGTTATTAAGAGGGAAACTTGGCCAGGCACAGTGGCTCACACCTATAATGCCAGCAGTTTGGAATGCCATGGTGGGTAGATTGCTCGAGCCCAGGAATTTGAGACCAGCCTGGGCAACATGGCGAAACACCATCTCTACCAAGAACATAAGAAAAATTACCCAGGCGTGATGGTGCATGCCTGTGGTCCCAGCTACTCGGGAAGTTGAGTTGGGAGGATGGCTTAAGCCTGGGAGGCAGAGGTTGCAGTGAGCTGAGATTGGCACCACTGTACTCCAGTTTAAGCAACAGAGCCAGACCCTGCCTCAAAAGGATAAAAATGAGCCAGGTGTGGTGGCTCACGCCTGTAATCCCAGCACTTTGGGAGGCCAAGACAGGCGGATCATTTAAGGTCAGGAGTTCAAGACCAGTCTCACCAACATGGCGAAACCCGGTCTATACTAAAAATACAAAAAATTAGTTGAGCATGGTGGCATGCACCTGTAATCCTAGCTACTCAGGAGGCTGAGGTAGGAGAATCACTTGAACCTGGGAGGTGGAGGTTTCAGTGAGCCAAGATTGGGTCATTGCACTCCACCGTGAGAGACACAGTGAGACTCCATCTCAAAAAATAAATTTAAATTAAAATTTTTTTTTTTTTTTTTGAGATGGAGTCGCCCAGGCTGGAGTGCAATGGCACGATCTCGGCTCACCGCAACCTCTGCCTCCCAGGTTGAAGCGATTCTCCTGCTTCACTGTCTCAGCCTCCCGAGTAGCTGGGATTACAGGTGCCCGCCACCATGCCTGGCTAATTGTATTTTCAGTAGAGATGGGGTTTCTCCATGTTAGCAAGGCTGGTCTCAAACTCCTGACCTCAGGTGATCTGCCCACCTCAGCCTCCCAAAGTGCTGGGATTACCGGCATAAACCACCGCACCTGGCTCAAAAATTAATTAATTAATTAATTAATTTTTTTTTTGAGATGGAGTCTCACTCTTTTGCCCAAGCTGGAGTGCAGTGGCACCATCTCGGCTCACTGCAGCGTCCGCTTCCTGGGTTCAAGCAATTCTCTCTGCCTCAGCCTCCCAAGTAGCTGGGATTACAGGTGCCCGCCACAACGCCCAGCTAATTTTTGTATTTTTAGTGGAGATAGGGTTTCGCCATGTTGGCCAGGCTGGTCTTGAACTCCTGACCTCAGGTGATCCACCCGCCTCAGCCTCCCAAAGTGCTGGGATTACAGGCATGAGCCACTGCACCCGGCCTAAAACTTTTTTTAAAAGAGGGAAACCAAAGTTCAGACAGGGCCGGGCACGGTGGCTCAAGCCTGTAATCCCAGCACTTTGGGAGGCCGAGGCGGGTGGATCACGAGGTCAGGAGATCGAGACCATCCTGGCTAACATGGTGAAACCCCGTCTCTACTAAAAATACAAAAAACTAGCCGGGCGTGGTGGCGGGCGCCTGTAGTCCCAGCTACTCGGAGGCTGAGGCGGGAGAATGGTGTGAACCCGGGAGGTGGAGCTTGCAGTGAGCCGAGATCGCGCCACTGCACTCCAGCCTGGGCGACAGAGCGAGACTCCGTCTCAAAAAAAAAAAAAAAAAAAAAAAAACAAAACAAAGTTCAGACAGGTGAAGTGCCTTGTGATCCAGAGTCCCTGGTTCCCAGGGAGCCTGTCTGGCCTTCCAGTTCTGCCACCACATGGCCCAGAGAGGCTGGGTGCTGGCTGAGAGCTGGCTGGGGTGCCCCCCTTCCCCTCTCCACCCAGACAGAAGTACTGGTGGGAACTGCACAGCCAAACTACTTTGTTTTATTGGATTTTGAGTAAAAACACGAACCATGTCAAAGTTTCCAGGCAGACTCCTAAAAAGCATTAGCAGATTTGGACCCAGGCAGGCTGGGGGACAGGGAGGTCCCTCTATCAGGTTTTAAGGCGGGTGGAGCGCCGAGGTAGTGGGGGTTGGGAGGGTCGAGCCGTCACCTTGCTGGGTGTTTTGTCCTGGGTGTTGGGCTGGGAGGGTGGGCGGCCGCCGGAGGTGAACAGGGCTGTCAAAGCGTTCCGGGCGTTGATTGCGCACCGGCGGCTCACAGGTCGGGTGGTGGGGCTGGGGTTCTTGGCCGCCTTGTATTTCTGGATACAGAAGGTGCAGGTAAGGTCAGGGTCTCCTCCCTACATGGTATGCTCCTGGCCAGCAGCTACTTCCCCAGCTCTGGCTGAGACAGTATTAGTGTGCTCTGTGACCCTGCGTGATGCACTCAGCCTCTCTGGGCCAAGACTCTGGAGCTAACAGCCTCGCACTCAGCATCCCCTTGAACAATAAGAGCCCAACCCCACCCCAGTTCTAATTTTCTCCCTATTGGTGCAGGGGTGGTGTCTTGGGGTTGAGGCCCAGCACAAGAAGGGGTGGCCACTAGCCACCCGGATCAGCTTGGATACGACTGAGTCTGTGGCCAGGGGAGGACAGGGCAGGATGTCCGGCTCACCTGCAGGTTCTCAAAGTGGCCCAAGGACTTGCAGTGGGAGAGCTGTGCCCCTGAGTTGCTGTGATAGAACTTGTGGCAGATGCGGCAGACGTAGCCCATCACGGGTACCAGGAAGTCCACACCTGTAGGACGGGATGGCAGGGTCTGCACTCGCATCCCTGTACCAGCGAGGTGTCCCTCCCTCTCTAGGGGCCCATGTGCTCCCCGACCCTCTAGGCAGGAGCGGAGGAGAAGGCTTCCCAGCCAGAATGCCATGGCCGGAATCTGGGAGGGTCACGTGGAGGCTGGGCCTAAGGGCTGAAGCTCCTGCGGGTGGGCTCAGGGCTGGGGCCTTACCATATGCAGTATTGGGGCTGTAGGTCTCCGAGCCCTTCCACTCTTCTCTGGATATATCTCTGGACCTCATCTGAAAATATGCAAGCATGATCCTCGGATCTGGCTTCCCCTAGACACCTCCCAGATGCAGGTCAGGGGCCTGGAGCCCACCAATGCCCTTGGACACACAGAATCCCCTTGATTTCCAGGAGGTAGTGGGTGGTGGTCTCTGAGTCTTTGCACATGGTGATCCTGCCTTCCAGAGTGCTCTTCCCAATCTATACTTTCTAGACTCTGTTCAACTAGCCTCCTCCTCCAGGAAGTCCTCCTGCTCCTACAGGGGCCATAATCCATGCCAGGTGTGCCCAAGATATCATGTGTCATCTGACTGAATCCTCATAACAACCCTATATGGCTACACCCATTTTACTAAGAAGAAACTGAGGCCCAGGGACATTAACTCACTTGTCTAGGGTTGCACAGCTGATTTGCGGAGGAGCTGGGCAGGGAACCCTGTAGGTCTAAGCCATAGTTCACACTCAACCATGAGCCCCCTGCTAGCTCCCTAAGGTCCTATCCAATACTGCAGTGACCTTGGTCCTAGGGGGTGGGTTCAGGGGATCAAAGACTGTGCATTTCACCTGCTGGATGTCAGCCCCTTCCAGATGAGGTCATCTGACTCTGGCCATGTCAGCCCTAGCAGGCCTAGCAGTGCCCTCCACCACTCACCAGGCAAACAAATGTGGCTTCCAAGAAGGACAACCACCCCCGTTTGCTAAGCCCTTCCTAGGACCAAGCCGTGGGCCCTGGGTTTCCCTTATTGTCCAAGTTCAGATTGTTATTTCTGAGCAGAGGCAACTGAGGCTCAGAGAGGCCAAGTGGCTTGCCTGAGATGTTGTTGCTACTGAGCAAGGAAGATGGGCCTCATACTGCCCTGCCTAGGACTGCAAGCCACCCCCACAACGCTTCCTCCCCAGCCCCTTCATACCCCACTGTGACTGCCACAGCCTATAAGTAGCCCCAGCTGGCCCCTGGACTGTAACTGGGGCAGCCTCAGTGAGGGCAAGGACGAGGCCTTGGCCCTTATGGGTCCCTGCGTCCAGCACCAGGGCCTGACCCAGAAGACGCGCTCTGGAAACGTGTCAAACTGCAAAGAATCTGGCTGGGCACGGTGGCTCACGCCTGTAATCCCGTCACTTTGGGAGGCCAAGGCGGGTGGATCACCTGAGGTCAGGAGTTCAAGACCAGCCTGGCCAACATGGTGAAACCCTGTCTCTACTAAAAATACAAAAATTAGCCAGGCGTGGTGGCGGGTGCCTGTGATCCCAGCTACTTGGGAGGCTGAGGCATGAGAATCACGTGAACCCAGGAGGTGGAGGTTGCAGTGAGCCAAGATCACACCACTGCACTCCAGCCTGGGCGACAGAGCAAGACTCCGTCTCAAAAAAATAAATAAAAATGAAAACTGCAAAGATTCCAAGCTCCTCCAGCTCCTCATTGATGGGAGACAGGGTAGCTGCGGCATTGGAAAGCTGGACTCTGAAAGTTTCAGTTCGTGCCATCCAATCTGATGAGATTCAGCCAGGATAGTGCTTGGTACACACGCCTGCAACATAGTAAGTGCTCAAAAAGATGTCTGTTGCTGGCCGGGTGCGGTGGCTCACACTGTAATCCCAGCACTTTGGGAGGCCAAGGCAGGTGAATCACAAGGTCAGGAGTTCAAGACCAGCCTGGCCAACATGGTGAAACCCCGTCTCTACTAAAAATACAAAAATAATTAGCTGGGCAAGTGACAGGCACCTGTAATCCCAGGTACTCGGGAGGCTGAGGCAGGAGAATCGCTTGAACCTGGGAGGCAGAGGTTGCAGTGAGCTGAGATCGCACCATTGTACTCCAGCCCAGGCGACAGAGTGAGACTCTGTCTCAAAAATAAATAAATAAATAAATTAATTAATTAATTAAAAGATGTCTGCTGCTATCAGCCTCACCATTATCATCACTATCATCTGACTTTTCCTTTGCACGCTACATAGTTTCCCACCTTGGTGCCTTTACTGATGCTGTTCCCTTTCCCTTCCTCCACACAGGTCCAAATTTCAGTCAGGCTTTGCATATTTTAACTGCTACTCTCTAGTCATCATGCATAATTACATAGTCATGCAGAAGGCAGTTGACAGTAATAATCAGTTGTGGCATGCATTAGTGCCCACAGATGCCAGCCCAGTGTCTGGCCTCCGGGAGGTGGGATGAGGTCTGTTCTGGGCTGGGAATCCAGCACCGAGCCCGCCTCCCACACCCTCCCCCGAGCACCTGCTTGCAGAGTTCCTCCTCAACCTCGATCTCTTCTTCATCCTCATCATCCTCTTCCTCTTCATCACCCTCAAAGCAACCCACAGCGTCCACTGTAATGAAGTGGTCCTCATCTTGGCCAGCAATCTCCTTCTCAAGCGACTTCAGCTGCCCAGGGAGCAGGCAAGGGGCTCAGGTCAGCTCTGAACAGCCAAGGGGCCATGCCCTACCCACCCCACCCCTCCCCTGAGAGTCTCGATCCCTCCAGACCTGCTGTGAGTTTGGGCTGGGAAAAACCTCAGCTTGCTGCATGGCCTTGGCCAAGGCTCTGTACCTCTCTGGGCCCATGTCCTCTGAGGGAGCTCGGGTTACCTCCTTGGCTTTGTCCTTATGACCCTGGGACTTCACGTGCTCCACAAACTTGCGAGGGGTTTTGAAGTAGCGGTTGCAAACGGTGCAGAACGGTCGCAAGGATTGTTTGGCGATCTGGAAAAAGGCAGGCCGACCAAGCAGTGTCCCCAGGTGCAAGCCCCCTGACTAGCACCTAGGCAGGGCCCGGCAAGAGCTCACCTCCCCTGGGCAGGCCCACCATATCTGTAACAAGCTGGGCTGTGCTCCACCCCTGCACTGGAACGTGGGCAAACACATGTCTTCGTGGTGTGGGTGGCTGAGAGATGCGATGGCAGATGGCAACACAGAAACAGGACAGACACAGAGAGAAGACGAGAGAGAGGGCAGCTGCCCAAATAACCCATGAGCCCCATGGCTGAATGGCAGGGTGAGATGGTACCTGGCCTACACTGGACAGATGGGGAACCTGAAGCCCGAAGAAGAAACAAGACTGACTCATCCAGAACTGCATTGTGGGTTATGCGGGTACAGGGACAAAGAGGAACGTTTACTTTCCTCCTGGGGCTCTGTGTTGCCTGGCCTCCGCTTGGAGACAGCAGTGCGGGTGCCTCTGCAGCGTGCAGGCCCTCCTACCTTGTGGTCCTGTGTCCTTCGGTGTTGGATCAGGTCCCCCACGTAGTAGAGCTGGCAGGTGTTACACCAGCGCCTTGGTGGAGGCTCCCTGAATGACAACAGTCAAAGCAAGTACAATGTGAAGCCAGAAAGACAGCAGCTGTCCGAGAGTGCTCCGTAAGTGTCATGCCATTCCAATAGCAATTCCCACAGGATCTCTTAGGGAAGCTTAACACACCGGTTCTGGGCCGGGCGCGGTGGCTCAAGCCTGTAATCCCAGCACTTTGGGAGGCCGAGGCGGGCGGATCACGAGGTCAGGAGATCGAGACCATCCTGGCTAACACGGTGAAACCCCGTCTCTACTAAAAATACAAAAAACTAGCTGGGCGAGGTGGCGGGCGCCTGTAGTCCCAGCTACTCGGGAGGCTGAGGCAGGAGAATGGCGTGAACCCGGGAGGCGGAGCTTGCAGTGAGCCGAGATCGCGCCACTGCACTCCAGCCTGGGTGACAGAGCAAGACTCTGTCTCAAATAAAATAAAATAAAATAAAAATAAAAATAAAAAAACACACACCGATTCTGAGGTTCATCTAGATGAGTACTTAAGCAGAAATAACCCAGGAAACTTTAGGGGGAAGGGGAATGAAGCACTGGGGATGCCAACCTTTAAAATGAAAACCACAAGCTACAATAGATAAAACTGTGTAGTGTGATGTACATCCTGACAGTGTATCAATGGGAAAGAATGGAAAGTCCTAACCAGGTTCAAATATTGGTAAGAATTCAGCTTCGCCAGCCTGGGCAACATGGCGAAACCCCTTCTCTAGCAAAAATACAAAAAATGAGCCAGGCATGGTGGCTCATGCACCTGTGGTCCCAGATACTCAGGAGGCTGGGGTGGGACAATTGCTTCAGCCTGGGAGGCAGAAGTTGCAGTGAACTAACATAGTGCCACTGCACTCCAACCTGGGTGACAGAGTGAGACCCCCATCTCAAAAAACAGAATTCAGCTTCTGATAAATTGGTATTGAAAAGCATAGATTATACAACAAGTTATGTCAGAACAATTTATTGTCTACTTGGAGAAGAAAGGCCTTCTGCTTCCACCTTCCACCTTACTTGAAAATGAATTCTAGCTGAACTACCAGAGAGTCAGGCATAAAAATAAAAACCAAACACTTTAAAAAAGGGAGGCCAGGCACAATGGCTCACACCTGTAATCCCAGTCCTCAAGGCAGGAGGACTGCTTGCGCCCAGGAGTTTGAGACCAACCTGAGCAACATAGCAAGACCCCATCTCTATGAAACATAAAAAACATTAGCTGGGTTTGGTGGCACATGCCTATAGTCCTAGCTACTCAGAAGCTGAGGTGGGAGGATTGCTTGAGCCCAGGAGGTGGAGGCTGTAGTGAACCGTGACTGTGCCACTGCACTCTAGCTGGGGCAACACAAGACACTGTCTCCAAAATAAATAATAAATAAAAAGGGGGCCAGGCACAGTGGCTCATGCCTATAATCCCAGCACTTTGGGAGGCTGAGGCAGGAGGATCGCTTGAGCCCAGAAGTCCAAGACCAGCCTAGGCAACATAGTGAGATCTTGTCTCTACATAAAATAAAATTAGGCATGCTGGTGTGGGAGACGGAGGTTGCAGTGAGCCGAGATTGCGCCACTGCACTCCAGTCTGGGCAACAGAGCAAGACTCTGTCTCAAAAAAAAAAAAAAAAAAGTATCTGAATCAGTGAAAATAAGGACTCTCTATAAAATATGCAAGTATACAATTTTTTCATAAATTTTAGGGGGCACGTAACCCCCCTGTCCACTGAGAAAGCGCTGTAAGAGCTCTGCTGGGGAAGGCTGCTTAGGACAGAAAGTGTTTGTGTTGTCATGTAGCATGAATCTGATTTTTATTTTTAAAGATTGTATAAATCCAGAAAGGATCACAAGAAGAACTAGGTCAAAATGTAAGCAGTGTTTATCTCTGGGTAATGGGATTATGGGTGATTTTTATCTTCTTGTGTGTCTGTGTCCTTGTATTTTCAAAACATTATATAATGAGTGAATTATTTTTATAATCAGAAAAAAATTTTTTTTTAGTCAAAAAAGGCACATCAGCCACACAGTGAGAGTACCAGGTTTTAGGTTTTAAGATTTAGGGACACTTACTGTCCTCAGTAAAATCTTCTTAATACTGCTGCAAGCAACAAAATCACTTTAAAGCAGCTTGCACTGCTGTGGAATATTCCTTTTAAACACAGTTTTGTAAAGTTTGCATTTTTTTTTCTTAAAGAAATAGGGTCTCGCACTGTCATCCAGGCTGGAGTGCAGTGGCATGATCAAGGCTCACTGCAGCCTCCACCTCCTGGGCTCAAGCAGTCCTCCCACCTCAGCCTCCTAAGTAGCTGGGACTACAAGTGCACGCCACCAGGCCTGGCTAATTTTTTATAGTTTGTAGAGGCACAGGTCTCAGGATGGGCTGGTCTTGGACTCCTAAACTCAAGCAATACCCCCACCTCAGCCTCCCAAAGTGCTGGGATTATAGGTGTGAGCCACCATACCAGTCTGGCTCTATTTTTTTTTTTTTTTTTTTGAGACGGAGTCTCGCTGTGTCTCCCAGGCTGGAGTGCAGTGGCGCGATCTCGGCTCACTGCAAGCTCCGCCTCCCGGGTTCACGCCATTCTCCCGCCTCAGCCTCCCAAGTAGCTGAGACTACAGGCGCCCGCCACCACGCCCGGCTAGTTTTTTGTATTTTTAGTAGAGACGGGGTTTTACCATGTTAGCCAGGATGGTCTCGATCTCCTGACCTCGTGATCCACCCATCTCGGCCTCCCAAAGTGCTGGGATTACAGGCTTGAGCCACCGCGCCCGGCCTGGCTCTATTTTTTTAATGTGCATTTTGATCTCTGTGAGAGAAAAACACAATAAATGAAGAAAGGGGGTGGGGAGAGAACATGGTCATCAAACAGGTGGACACCTTGTGCCAGTGTCATGTCTGAGGCTGCCCAGAAATGGCCAAAGGCCGGGCATGGTGGCTCACACCTGTAATCCCAGCACTTTGGGAGGCCAAGGCGGGCAGATCACGAGGTCAGGAGATCAAGATCATCCTGGCTAACATGGAGAAACCCCATCTCTACTAAAAATACAAAAAATTCGCCGGGCATGGTGGTGGGCGCCTGTAGTCCCAGCTACTTGGGAGGCTAACACAGGAGAATGGCGTGAACCCGGAAGGCGGAGTTTGCAGTGAGCCGAGATCGCACCACTGCACTCCAGCCTGAGCAACAGAGCAAGACTCCATCTCAAAAAAAAAAAAAAAAAGGCCAAGATTGGGGGATCACATGAGGCCAGCAGTTCGAGACCAGCCTGGGGCAATGTGGTGAAACCCCCTCTCTACTAAAAATACAAAAATTAGCCAGGCATGGTGGCACGCCTGTAATCCCAGCTACTTGGGAGGCTGAGGCACGAGAATTGCTTGAACCCGGAAGCAGAGGTTGCAGTGAGCCATGATCATGCCACTACACTCTAGCCTGGGTGACACAGTGTGACTGTCTCAAGAAAAAAAAAAGAAAAGAAATGGCAAGGGCTTATTTCACAGCACCTGCCCTATGGGCTTTGAGGAGGAAAGAGACGGGCACCCCCCAGCTAGGGTATTGGGATCCAGCCTTCAGCCCCATTCCTGGGAACACCCCCCCTGCCTTCCATGGGGAAATGTATTTCCATGTGATTTGGGTAGAGCTGGCCTGCCTAGGCCTAGCCAGTCAGAACGCCCCATCCCTGGCCAGGGGATTGCTTCAGAAACGTGCACATGACCACAACCAAATTAACCAGCATTTCCCCTAGAAACTGTTCTGCTACTGCAGACACAGGTGACTGCCCTTCCTTGGAGGTCACTGTGCAGGGAGGCTGGGGCTGTGGGTACCTGGTGCCCACTGTAGTAAGAGATGGAGCCTCTCTAAGAAATGGTATCCCCTGGGTCCAGCTGTATCTCTTGCCTTCCCACTTACCTAAGCCAAAAACGTTGCTCCTTTTTGCTCAAGCTAATTTCTGTCTTACAGAAATTAGAATTTTTGTCACTTACAACCGCAAAGAACCGCCACTGATGCAGGAGGACAGTATTGATGTCTTTGTGTTGGGGACCAAGGTGAGGTGGTCGTAGCTAGGGACTGGAGGGACTTTGTACATTTTTGTTGTTGTTTTTGAGATGGAATCTCACTCTGTCACCCAGGTTGGAGTGCAGTGGTGTGATCTCGGCTCACTGCAACCTCCGCCCCCGGGTTCAAGCAATTCTGCCTCAGCCTCCCAAGTAGCTGGGATCACAGGCATGCACCACATTACCCAGCTAACTCTGTATTTTTAGTGGAGAAGGGGGGGTGCCACCATGTTGGCCAGGCTGGTCTTGAACTCCTGACCTCAGGTGATCTGCCCACGTCAGCTTCCCAGAGTGCTAGGATTACAAGCCTGAGCCACTGCACCTGACCATAATGTTCTTCATGGCCTCGGGGCCAAGTAGGATTCAAGAGAAGACTTCATGGAGAGAGATCATTGGGAGAGGGTTTGATAAATCCCCGACACCTGAAGCTTGTTAACAGCTTGTGCTAAGTATGTCTTTTTAGTTTCCTTCTGTGTCACAAGATCTATTTTTATACAAACAATTCATTCTGCAGATGCAATTTTGAATCCTGTTTTATCTGACATTGCATCACCTTTCCACATTATTATAAATTCCCCAGTTATCCTATTTGTTCATTGTGCCATGAGCTGGGCGGGCTTTTTCACCATCTAACCAATCCCCTACTTTTGAGTATTTTAGATCATTTCCCGTTAGCTTTTTTTTTTACCATGATACTAATAGCAAAGAACGTCTCGGTGAGTCATCATTCTCCTGTGTTTATGATTATTTCACCCAAGTAGAAAACTACTCAAGGAAACTCTTCTCAACGTGAGAAACAGCTAACAGAGACGCAGGCTGCAGGCAAGCGGAGGTCACCAAGAGCCCTTCCTGTCCCCTCAGCCCCACCTGGAAGCTTCAAATCGTGACCTCTGTAAAATCAGGACAGAGCCCTGACTCAAGGGCCTGTCCAGCCTATGAAAGTGTTTGATTTGCCCTCCATAGGGTTTGTTTTGTTTCAATTCTGAACTAGCTGTTAACATTTTGAAATTGGGAGATTTCACATACAAACCTGGATTTCTGGATTCTTCTTAAAACTAAGAGATCTGGGCCAGGCGCGGTGGCTCAAGCCTGTAATCCCAGCACTTTGGGAGGCCGAGACGGGCGGATCACGAGGTCAGGAGATCAAGACCATCCTGGCTAACACGGTGAAACCCCGTCTCTACTAAAAAATACAAAAATCTAGCCGGGCGAGGTGGCGGGCGCCTGTAGTCCCAGCTACTCGGGAGGCTGAGGCAGGAGAATGGCGTAAACCTGGGAGGCGGAGCTTGCAGTGAGCTGAGATCCGGCCACTGCACTCCAGCCTGGGCGACAGAGCGAGACTCCGCCTCAAAAAAACAAAAACAAAAACAAAAAAACCAAAAAACTAAGAGATCTGGAGCTGAGAAGCAGCTGTCTCATGAGACAGAGCCTGTGTCCCAGCTGTGGCCCTAGCTAACACGGTCCTGCTGCTGAGATGACATGTCCCAGCCCTTGCACACCTTTACAACTGCCCACAGAGTCCTGAAAGCCCCTCCGGCTGCCCGCCAGGCCTTCCCGCCCCAGTCTAGTTCCAGATCCCAGGAGGGCTGAAGTTTCTGATTAAACAGGCCCCCATGACAATGAAAGGGGGAGACACAGGGAAGCCCTAACCTCCAACCACAAAAGAACCTGATCCTCAGCCTTGTCACCCCACAGCGGGGTCAGCACACGTGCCGCAGGGGGCTGGGGTCTGTGCCACAACCTGTCCTCTCCCACAGGGATGGTCACACTGTTCCTGTCTAGAGGGAACCTTAAGAGACTGTCATGAATTCCTGTACTATATCCCTCACCAAGCCATGTTACAGGCAGGGAAAACTGAGGTTCAAGGTCACACAGTTAACAGTGTGAGGAGGCCTGGCTGGCGGCGGCAATGCTTAACCCAAAGGTAGACCCTGCAGATAGCAGATTCAGGCCCTGGCTGACGAGACCACCTCCCCACAACGCAGAGCTTCCACGATCCCCCACTCACTCATCCTCTGTCTCCAGGACATCCCGGGGCATGGGCAGCAGGGACAGGAGGCAGGCTTGGCTCATGTGCTGGATCTCCCCTAGCCGCTGCTGGTGCTGAGGCTCCGACATGTGGTCCTGGAACTCCTGCAGCAGGAGGGAGTGAGGGATGGGCCTGGGGCGTGAGCCTGGAACAGTGGGCAAGGCTGGGGCCTCGGGAGGCAGATCCCAGCCTCATCACTGTGAGCCCATTTCTCTCACCACACATTTCTCTCTTGTGTAGGCTAGAGCAGGCACGATAAACTGAGACACAGGGTACATGCCAGCCCAAGCTTCTGCCCCTCCCAGAGAATGTGTGAGTGCCTCAAAGACAAGGAGCAGCCTGGTTAGCATCCAGGTCTCCAAGGCTCTACCAGGTGAGGCACAGAGTAACACAGCTCACAGCACAAGAGTAGTAATAATACAAGTACAATGCGATCATGATTACTGCTACACTCACTTTGGGCCAGGCCTGCGCTCAGGACTCCAATGTCACGTTGGTGCCTCCCCAGAACCACCCAGTGAGGTAGATTCTAAACGTTTCTTTTTTTTTTTTTTTTGAGACAGAGTCTTGCTCTGTCACCCAGGCTGGAGTACGGTGGCATGATCTCAGCTCACTGCAACCTCTGCCTCCTGGATTCTCCTGCCTCAGCCTCCTGAGTAGCTAGGATTACAGACGCACGCCACTACATATTTTTAGTAGAGATGGGGTTTCACCATGTTGGTCAGGCTGGTCTCAAACTCCTGACCTCGTGATCCGCCCACCTCGGCCTTCCAAAGTGCTGGGTTTACAGGCGTGAGCCACCGTGCGGGACCCTAAACTTTCCTTTGTCTGACGTAAGAGGAAATAGGCACGGGGTGGAATTCGCTTTCCAAGGTCCCCCAGCTACTCAGAGCCGATATGAACCAGGTCTGCCTGACTCTAAAAACCTGCTTGAGCCCAAGAGGTAGAGGCTGCAGTGAGCTGAGATGATGCCACTGCATTCCAACCTGGGAGACAGAGTAAGACCCTGTCTTGAAACAAAAACCAAAAAAACAAAACCACCAAAACCTGCCTTCTTGGCTGGTCAGGAAATGTTTCCTAAGCAAATGCATGGCTGCTGGAGGCAGGGCCCAGTGCAGCCTGAGGCAGCCTTGGGAGGGCAGGTTGCGCACTCCACGAAGGCCCCACCCCTCCCCGCCCTTATCTCCTGTATCAGTACCTGCTGGCTGGAGCAGCTGGCCTTGCAGATGTAGCAGAAGAACTGGAGGGCCTGCTTTGAGGGAGTGCTGGTAGCTGCAGGGGTGGAGGAGGCAGAGTCACTGGGGCGGGGCACAGGTGTCAGGGGTACAGTGCTAAAGGCCCGGCTGTCACTGCTCTGCAGAATGGTGACCTTCAGGGAGCCCCCAGCGCCCCATACCTGCATGGGGAGTAGAAACTGAGCTTCTACCAACTGTGTACTTACAGTGGGCCAGCCCAGCATTCGACATCTACCAACATTGTCTCATCAGATCTTCCTGACGATGGGGAAACTGAGGCTCTGAGCTGTTAGGGGACCACCCCAGCTTACACAGCTAGAAAGCACTGCAGTCAGGATGCGTACCCAGGTCAGCCTAAAGTACCACCCGTCCCACCCCTTGTAGGACAGATGGGGAAACAGACTCATAGAAGGGAAAGGGTTTGCCCACAGTTATGCAGAGCTGGGACCCAAACCCCACAGAGAGGCTTCCACTCTGTGCTCTCTCCATGAGGGCAACATTACCCATGCAAGACTGGGGCTTTTGCTTGGGGATGGGCAGGCTGGAAGGGATGGATGTGAAGACAGCACAACAGCAAGAAGGTCCCATGCAGACCACTGTCAAGCCCAGCCTGGTCTGTCCCCCCATCCTAGGCAGAGGGCTGTCATCCCATTTCACAGTGGGGGAAACACAAGGAGGCCCTGAGGTGGCCTGGGGCAGAAAGAGGCCATCCCACCCTGCTGGGCTCTGTGGCCCTCACACTGCCACATCAGGGCCTCTACCCACCCCTGGCATCTCTCTTGTTCTGTTTTCACATTCTCCCACATCTAGGCCACTGGCCGACTCCTTCTGGATCTCTTCCATGCTGACTTGGGTGCCCACAGGCTCCGGCAAGGTCTTTTCCATGCCTGAAATGACAGATGTGCTGTTTCCCAGAGTGCATCTCCCACCCCAGGACCAAGAGCTGCTTTCTCCGTCCGCAGCCAGAACCTTGAGGCCCCCAGCATGGATGATCCTGGACCTGGGTTCCGGGCCTAGCCATCAGTCCCAGGCAGCACCCAGTTAGGGGAGGAATGAAGGGTCTGGGCAGAGCTGTTCCATCACCAGACCAGCTAGAAGCCAGTGCTCACTTACCTCCACCAGCTTCTACTGCATCAGGTGGCATCTCCAACCCGCAGACATCAACCACAACCGGTGTTTGCTCTGGAGCCAGCACCGACACCTGTGGCTGGGTCTGAGGCTGCTCATGGGTTTGCTCTGGTGGCTGTACTGGCACCTGCGCTGGAGGCTGCTCCTGCGGCTGGACCCTTGGCTGTGCTTGTGTGTGGACCTGTGGATACGTCTGTGTCTGGGCCTGCTTCTGCAGCTGCAGGTGCACCTGCCTTGGGGGCTGTGAACGTGCCTGGGGCTGCAGCCGCTTCTGCAGCTCTGCCTCCTGCTGCAGCTGCACCTGCCTTGGGGCCTGTGAATGTGCCTGTGGCTGTACCTGTGGCTGCATCTGCTTCTGTGGCTCTGCCTCCTGCTGCAGCTGTGGCTGCACCTGCTTCTGTTGCAGCACTAAGTGCTCGGGAGAGGTCTGTGTTTGTGCCTGCTTCTGCAGCTTTGGCTGCACCTGGGCGTCTGTGGGTGGTATCCGTGGCTGAGTCTGTGACTGCACCTGGGCCTGGATCTGCAGGACCCGTGGCTGGAATCGTGGCAGCACTTGGGCTTCCAGGGGCTCAGGCAGCAGGTCTGGTGTCTGTGTCTGTTTCGGTACTGTCATCCGGGCCTGTGGCTGGGCCTTCGCCTGTAGCTGCCCTGGAGGTTCCTTCTCTGTGGGTTCTTCTGAGCTAGGAAGGATCAAAAGAAAATCCCAGTCATGTCTTCAAAGAGGCCCCAGGGGCTCCCAAGGAAGGCCAAAACTAGGCCGAGCATGGTGGCTCCCATCTGTAATCCCAGCATTTTGGGAGGCTGAGGCAGGCGGATCATTTGAGGTCAGGAGTTCGACACCAGCCTAGCCAATGTGGTGAAACCTGGGATTACAGGTATGAGCCACCATGCCCAGCCCGAGACTGTTTCTTTTTTGTTTTTGTTGTTGTTGTTATTTATTTATTTTTTTTCTGAGATGGAGTTTAGCTCTTGTTGCCCAGGCTGGAGTGCAATGGCACGATCTCGGTTTATTGCAACCTCTGCATCCTGGGTTCAAGCAATTCTCCTGCCTCAGCCTCCTGAGTAGCTGGGATTACAGGTATGCACCACCACACCCGGCTAATTTTGTATTTTTAGTAGAGAAGGGGTTTCTCCATGTTGGTCAGGCTGGTCTCAAACTCCCGACTGCAGGTGATCCACCCACCTCAGCCTCCCAAAGTGCTGGGATTACAGGTGTGAGCTACCGCATGCAGCCCAAGACTCAGTTTCTAATGCTCGCTCTACCACTTACAGGCTGGGGAACCCCCTCTGCTACTGCCACTGCCACCCCTGCCTTTGCAGGGCACCCAGGCCCAGGTCAGGTCTTCAGCATCAGTTACCTCCTCAACCTCTTGGCTGGCGGCTCGGACACCTCGCAAGGCTCAGGCTCAGGTGCTGCAGTGCATTTTTCCTTGCCGATGTCCTCTGGGCAGGGTGGTAAATCTTGGTCTGGAATGCAGGCATGAGCGAGGGAACTCAGATGTTGGGGAGAGCATCTCTAACCTCCATGAGATAGAGACTGGGCTCCCCACCTTCCCACCAAGAACCCCAGCCTCCCACACCTGCCTCTATCACCTGCTGACCCGCCCACCGGCCCCGCCCCATCCATGTCCCTCTGAAGGGCCAGCAGCCTCCCTCCCTCACCTTCTGATGTGTCCATCCCGGGCTCTGCGGCTTCCTCAGACCCCTCTGGGGGGTCTGACTTGTCTTCCACAGGCATTGTCTGAGAAGAAGAATCCTGCTTCCTTTCAGAAACTATGTTGACATCTGATACCCGCCCCATCAGTACCCCCTTGCCCAAGGGCAGCTGCCCCCATCCTCCAGGGGATGATAGGCCCCAAGGACCTCTGGTGGGCCTGGCCCCAGAACTGCCGAGTGGATGATCTTAGTAAAAATGTCCCAGCAATGGTGTCTAGGAGACTCTACCTAGTTGTCTGTTAAATAAACCCAGGTTTGGAGGACACGAAGCCTTCTCCTGGCCACAGTGCTACCTCCTGACCTGACTTCCCACCCAGTTTTCCACGAAGTAGCCAGTGGGGTCCTTCTTTTTTTTTTTTTTTTTTGAGACAGAGTTTCACTCTTGTGGCCCAGGCTGGAATGCAATAGCACAATCCTGCAACCTCCGCCTCCTGGGTTCAAGCGATTCTCCTGCCTTAGCCTCCCAAGTAGCTGGGATTACAGGCGCACGCCACCACACCTGCCTAATTTTTGTATTTTTTTTTTTTTTTTGAGACGGAGTCTCGCTCTGTCGCCCAGGCTGGAGTGCTGTGGCCGGATCTCAGCTCACTGCAAGCTCCGCCTCCCGGGTTCCCGCCATTCTCCTGCCTCAGCCTCCCGAGTAGCAGGGACTACAGGCGCCCGCCACCTCGCCCGGCTAGTTTTTTGTATTTTTTAGTAGAGACGGGGTTTCACCGTGCTAGCCAGGATGGTCTCGATCTCCTGACCTCGTGATCCACCCATCTCGGCCTCCCAAAGTGCTGGGATTACAGGCTTGAGCCACCGCGCCCGGCCTAATTTTTGTATTTTTAGTAGAGTTGGGGATTCACCATGTTGGCCAGGCTGGTCTCAAAATCCTGACCTCAGATGATGTGCCCGCCTCGGCCTCCCAAAGTGCTGGGATTACAGGCATGAGCCACCACACCCGGCCCAATGGGGTCCTTCTAAAATGCAAACCTGATCATGTCTCTTCTTTCAGGCTTAAAGCCCTCCCATGGCTTCCCGCAGCCCTGGTGCATGCCCTACGCCAAGCCTGAAAACCCTCTGCACACCCACCCCTTCCCTGCACAACCTGGCCTCTGCACACTCCCTGCCCCGGCCATGCCCCGACAACCAGCCCTCTCTGCTTATCTCCCTTAGCCTTCTCTCTGGTCAAGCCCCAGGCCCGTCCCTGACCCCAGGCTTTCACTTAGAGCCTCTCGCAGGAAGCCCTCCTGACTCCAGAATGGGTCCAGAACCCACTTCCTTTTCGTGGCATTTCTGTATTCTTTTTTTTCTTCTTCTTCTTCTTCCATAAAGCCAGGGTCTCACTGTGTTTCCCAGGCTGGTCTCGAACGCCTGGGCTCAAGTGATCCTCCTGCCTTGGCCTTCCATAGTGCTGGGATTACAGGCACGAGTTGTCACACCCGGCCTCCACAGTCTTAATTAATTGGTTGGAGCATTATTTGCATTAATATCTCTCACCGCCCTCCCCATTCCTGTCCAAGACCTCAGGGAGGGCCAGGCCAGATACGTCATCTGCACCAGGGAGTCCCCTGCAGGGACTTCCAGATGTCTGCTAAATGAACACACAGCTCTCTCTGGCCAGTTCCAGGGCACCCCAGGAGGCCACCAGAAGCCTGCAGCCTCCCTCCCTCCCTCCTTCCCTCCCTCCTGCTAAGCCCAAGGAATGAGCACTGAGCAGGGAATGGCAATCGGAACATATCAGGATTCTGCCCTTCAGAAAGTACCCAGCTGTCACCCTGCACGACACAGGCACCAGCCTGAGAGTCAGGAGGCCTGGGCTCTGGGTCCACCTCGACAGCTGTGAGACTCAGGACCAACCCCACCCCAATCTCTGAGCCTGGGTTTTTCCATACGTGAAAAAATGAGGGCAGGACAGGTTAGACACTAGATCATATCTGTGATAACAGGCCCGTTGGAAGGTTGGAGGCGGGGCCCCTCGCTGGAGGAAAAGGCCTCACCTCCAGAAGTGGCGTTGCCCCTGCCCTGGAATGCACCCAGGAAAGTGTGTGAGGGAGGAGCTGCGGGGACCTTCAGGGACAGGACAGTCTAGGGAGGAGGTGAGCCCTTTGCAGATCTCCTGCTTACGCCAGGAAAAAGGTAAACACCTCTCAAACACACAAGGAGCCAGGGGGCTGCAGGCTGGAACCTACAGCCAGCAACAGCGCATAGCTTAGGATTTTATAGCATTGTTCTACCCCAGTTACATTTCCTATTGTTTGTTTGTTTCTTTGTTTGTTTGTTTGTCTGAGACGGAGTCTCACTCTGTTGCCCAGGCTGCAGTGCATGATCTCAGCTGACTGCAGCCTCTGTCTTCCAGGTTCAAGTGATTCTCCTACCTCAGCCTTCCTGAGTAGCTGGGATTACAGGCACCCGCCACTAGGGCCCAGCTAATTTTTGTGTTTTTAGTAGAGACGGGGTTTCACCATGTTGGCCAGGCTGGTCTCGAACTCCTGACCTCAAACGATCTGCCCTCCTCAGCCTCCCAAAGTGTTGGGATTACAGGCCTGAGCCACTGCACCCAGCAATTTCTTATACTTCTGTGAATGGCAATTAACTTAGATAGTTTTTAGAATGTCAGGTTACAATATGTTTCCTTTCAAAACAAATGTAACAGAAAGGAAGTTCACTCCCTCAAAGCCATGATCTCCCACACAGTCGCCCCACAGCCTCGGGAGAGCAGTTGAAACTGGCCGGGCTGAATTGAGAGGTCAGTATCAGAAACACACCAGATTGTGAAGATTTCGTAGTTTTTAAAAAAGGAATGTAAAAGTCTTATTTTTTATATTGATGACAGGTCGAAATAATAGTTTCACATGGGATTGGGTTAAATAAGTTAGTAATATTAATTTAGCCCATTTCTTTTTACTTTATAAGGTGGATACCAGAAAATTTTAAATTACATATATGGCTTATATTTTATTTCTACTGAGCAGTGCTGAGTTATTATTATTATTTTTTTTTTTTGAGACAGGGTCTCACTTTGTCACCCAGGTTGGAGTACAGCAGTATGATCGTAATTCACTACAGCCTCTAACTCCTGGCCTCAAGCAAACCTCCCACCTCAGCCTCCCAAGTCCCTGGCATTACAGGCATGCACCATCATGCCCCAATAATTTTATTTTTAATTATTAATTTTTTGAGACAGAGTTTCACTCTTGTTCACCAGGCTGGAGTGCAGCGGTACAATCTTGGCTCACTGCAACCTCCACCTCCTGGGTTCAAGCAATTCTTCTGCCTCCGCCTCCTGAGTAGTCAGGATTACAGGCGTGCACCACCATGCCCGGCGACATTTTTGTATTTTTAGTATAAAAGGGGTTTCGCCATATTAGCCAGGCTGGTTTCAAACCTCTGACCTCAGGTGATCCACCCACCACGTCCTCCTAGAGTGCTGGGATTATAGGCATGAGACCCCAGGCCCAGCCACACTGATAATTTTAAAAGAAACATTAAGCTGGGCACAGTGGCTCACGCCTGTAATCCCAGCACTTCGGGAGGCTGAGGTGGGAGGATCACCTGAGGTCAGGAGTTTGAGACCAGCCTGACCAACATGGAGAAACCCCATCTCTACTAAAAACACAAAATTAGCCGGGCGTGGTGGCGCATGCCTGTAATCCCAGCTACTCGGGAGGCTGAGGCAGGAGAATCGCTTGAACCCGGGAAACGGAGGTTTCAGTGAGCCGAGATCCCACCATTGTACTTCAGCCTGGGCAACAAGAGCGAAACTTTGTCTCAAAAAGAGAAACATTAAGTAAATGGTAGCATTTGTGCATGGCAAAAATCCCTTCAGTGATACAAGAATCTTTGAATTTTGGGAAACACTAAACAAGTCCATTCCTGCCCCCTCATTTTACAGATGAGGAAACTGAGGCATAAAGGGAGTGTGACCTCTTCGAAGGCCCAGGCTGAGCCAGAGAGAGGAAACTGAGGCATAAAGGGGGTGTGACCTGTTCGAAGGCCCAGGCTGAGCCAGAGCGGGTGGCACTGGGGCTGACACCCAGAGTCCCCTCCCGCCCACTCCCATCCCCACCTGACCCACCCCAGCCATCACTCACCTTTCGATTGGGGGTGGTAGAGGAGGAGGTCCGGGCCTGTTTCTGGGGGTTCCGTCCTGAAAGGTTGAACTGGGAGGGGTTCATGGGGACCCCAACAGGAGGAGGTCCCAGCAAGGACTGGCGAGTGGCCTGGGGAAAGAACTGTTGCAAATTTGGAGTGGCCAGTTGGGGGGGTGTGAGGCTGGGGGTTGTCAGGCTGGGGGCTGCGAGGCCTGGGGATGCCATGCCGTAGCCTCGGAGGTTACCTGCAGGCAAGAAGTGAGGAGAAGAGGGGTCACACTGGTCAGGTAGCAGAAGGTAGGGTCAGGCGTCAGTGCCCCAGAGCATCATGGGAACATCCCAGATAATTGAAAGGGACCTTCCCACCCAAGGGCAGCTGAAGGGAAGAGACTAGAGCTGAGGCTCAGTCTCACCTTGGGCACTGGTGGTGAAGGATTTAGGGCTTTTTTCTGCCCCAGCTAGGGGTGGGGGTGCTGCCTTTAGCATTCCCCAAAACCCTGCTCACCCTCAGGCATGCTTTAGAGTCTGCCATAGAGTAGGTGAGAGACTTAGCACAGCCCATAAGGAGAACCAGCAGGAGGGCTGGTCCCTGGGATAACAGGACACCACCCCTACCCCCACCGGCTACCCTTTATCAGCAGCAACTATGAGCCAGGCACTGTGCTAAGCCCGTTCCTCACACTGCCTCAGTCCCTCGGCCCAGCAGGTATCAGGGTGGGTGTTACTTCTCCCGATGACAAAACAGAGACAGAGTGGAGGTGCAGCTTGCCCAGGGTCTCTATGAGGGGCACCGCCATCCACCTACTGCCCCAGCCAGGATTCTGGGGTCTTCCTCATTCCTCCCTTTCTCTGCCCTATCCCATGCAAGCCATCCCCAGATCCTATCAACTCTGTCTCCTATGCTTCTTCCCAATCTGACTTTCCTGCTCCATCCCCACTCCCACTCCCTGCCTCCTCCCAAAACTGCTTGATCCTTTGCTTGAATTCCAGCCACAGCTTTTGCACAGGATGGCGGCAAACAGTCATCTTTCTCAAACCATATTCTAAGTTCATCTCTCCCTTCTGCCCAAACACTTCCATAGCTCCCTGCTGCTGGGCAGCAAAGCCCATTCCTCACTGCATGGTCTGGCCCTTCCCACCTTTCCAGTCTCCTTTCTTGCCATTCTCCCCACATGTCCCCACTATATTCCAGTCACATGTCCCTGTGCAGTCCTTCAGACATCCTGCCTCAGGGCCTTTGAATGTGCTGTTCCCTCTGCCTGGGCTGTTATACCCGCTGACTCCCATTCACCCTTCAGACCTCCCTGTAGGTGTCTTTCCTCCAAGAGACCTTCACAGACTGTGTCCCCAAAGGCCCCAGCTTCCAGTTCTAGGACGAGCTACATACTTTCCTTGTCTGCTTTTTTTGTTTTGTTTTGTTTTTGAGAGGGAGTCTTGCTCTATTGTCCAGTCTGGAGTGCAGTGGGTGATCTTGGCTCACTGCAACCTCCACCTCCCAGGTTCATGTGATTCTCCTGCCTCAGCCTCCTAAGTAGCTGGGACTATAGACACCCACCACCATGCCTGGCTAATTTTTGGATTTTTAGTAGAGACAGGATTTCACCATGTTGGCCAGCTGGTCTCAAACTCCTGACCTCACGGTGATCCGCCCACCTCGGCCTCCCAAAGTGCTGGGATTACAGATGTGAGTCACCACATCCAACTCCTTGTCTGCTTTCTGCTTCACATCATCTAACTCAGCTCTGCACCTCAGGGGAGGCCCAGAGCTTGGGAAGTATTTAAGGGATGAAAGGCAGTTGGAACTCTTGCCCCAGTGCTGGGATGGGAAGCACAGTGGTTAAAGCTTAAAACATGGGTCAGCTGTGCTGTGAGTGCCAGGTTCAAATCCAGACTCTACAGTACGAGCTCTGTGACCTTGAACAAATCAGTTCCCCCTGCTTAGCCTGATTTCCCTGATCTGTAAAATGGGGATAATAATTGCACCTGCCTCACAATGTTTTATGAGGATTCAGTGAAATATACAAATGTGCCTGGTACATAGTAAATGTTCAATTAACATTAACTTGAAACAAATACATATATACATATATGCAGAGAGCCAACCCAGCTCTTAAAAACAATAAGACAAAAGATGAAACAACCTAAAAGAAAAATGAACAAAGGACATGGACAAGTCACAAAAAGAAATAAAATGTTCAACAGACAAATATAAAATGTTCAACTGCACTAGCACTCCAAGAAATGTCAATTAAAACATTCATGACATAGCTTCTTTTTGCCAACCAACTTAATTATATGTATATATACGTTTATATATATATATATATATAAAAAGCATATAATACCCAGTGTTGCCGTGGGCATGGTGAGACCGGCAGTGTCATACGTGGCTGGTGGCATTGCAAACTGGTCCAGTCCTTTAGGAAAGCAATTTGGCAATACTTATCAAGAGCCATAAAACATCCATCCCCCCTCACTCAGTGAGAAAACACTCTCAAACATCATATTCATCCCAGGGTTACTTAAAACAGCAAAAAAAAAAAAAAAAAAAAAACCCAAAACAAAACAAAACAAAAAATAAAAAAAAGCAAAAGAAAGAAAAAAGCAAAAAAAAAAAAAAAAAAGGAAAGAGCCAAACAGCTAAGAAGGTTTAGATAAACAAAGGCATAGCCCTCTGGTGCAATATTAAACAGTTATTAAAAATAATCTTAACACAGATGATGAAATCCTATGGTAAACGATCATGCCATTCTATTCAGTGAAAAAGAAACAAGGTACAGCCTGGGACTTATATCAATCGCCATCATCAGATACAAATCCCCAAGTCTGTGCCTAGAAGAAAAACGGGATGAAACAGACAAATATGCTGACTGGTGGTTTTCTTCAGGTGGTGAGTGAGTCAACAGATGACACTGCGGGTTTTCCTATCCCCACTTTTAACCTTTTTCCCCACTTTAAAGAGTGTGATTTTTATTCTTGTGTTTGTTTTTGAGAAAGGGTCTTGCTATGTTGCCCAGGCTGATCTTGAACTCCTGGCCTCAAACAAACCTCCTGCCTTTGCCTCCCAAAGAGTTGGGATTACAGGCACGTGCCACTGCACCTGGCCAAGAGTGTGATTTGTTTTCTTTTTTTGAGACAGGGTCTTGCTCTGTCACCTAGGCTGGAATGCAGTGATGCAATGTTGGCTCACTGCAACCTCCGCCTCCTAGGTTCAAGCAATTCTCATGCCTCAGCCTCCTGAGTAGCTGGGATTACAGGCGCACGCCACCACACCCAGCTAATTTTTGTATTTTTCTCTTTTCTTTTTTTGAGACAGGGTCTTGCTCTGTCACTGGGCTGGAGCGTGATCTCGGCTCAACACAACCTCCACCTCCCGGGTTCAAGCAATTCTCCTGCCTCAGCCTCCCAAGTAGCTGGGACTACAGGCACACACCATCACACTCAGTTAATTTTTGTATTTTTAGTAGAGACAGGGTTTCACCATGTGAGCCAGGATGGTCTCGATCTCCTGACCTCGTGATTCGCCCACCTCGGCCTCCCAAAGTGCTGGGATTACGGGCGTGAGCCACTGCTCCTGGCCTAATTTTTGTATTTTTAATAGAGACAGAGTTTCACTATGTTGCCCAAGCTGTTCTCAAACTCCCAGACTCATGTGATCCTCCCGCCTTGGCCTCCCAAAGTGCAGGGATTATAGGTGTGAGCCACAGCCCATGGCTGAAGACTGTAATTTTTTAAATGAGAAAGAAGAAAAGGAAAATGTATACGTATATGTGGCAGGTCCCTGTGTGTGGTTCTCTCCCTACCTACCTGCTTATCATTTTTAAGTCAGTTCCCAGGACTGTCCACACCCATGTGGCCCTGACAGGTCCACAGAGTGACCACCATCTAATCAATACCGACTTGTTATGTAATCTTGGGCACATGACCCCTCTCTGGGCCTCAGTTTCTTTGTCTGTAAAATGGGATTGTGGTTGTACCTCTCTTTAGGGGGTTATCAGTAGAATCAGGAGCATCATCTTGGCTGAGCACAGTGGCTCACACCTATAATCCCAGCACTTTGGGAGGCCAAGGCGGGTGGATCACCTGAGGTCGAGAGTTCAAGACTAGCCTGGCCAACATGGAGAAACCCCATCTCTATTAAAAATACAAAAATTGGCCGGGAACGGTGGCTCACGCCTGTAATCCCAGCACTTTGGGAGGCCGAGACGGGCGGATCACGAGGTCAGGATATCGAGACCATCCTGGCGAACACAGTGAAACCCTGTCTCTACTAAAAAATACAAAAAACTAGCCGGGCGAGGTGGCAGGCGCCTGTAGTCCCAGCTACTTGGGAGGCTGAGGCAGGAGAATGGAGTAAACCCAGGAGGCCGAGCTTGCAGTGAGCTGAGATCCAGCCACTGCACTCCAGCCTGGGTGATAGAGCGAGACTCCGTCTCAAAAAAGAAAAAAAAAAAAAAAAAAAAAAAAGGCCGGGCGCGGTGGCTCAAGCCTGTAATCCCAGCACTTTGGGAGGCCGAGACGGGCGGATCACGAGGTCAGGAGTTCCAGACCATCCTGGCTAACACGGTGAAACCCCGTCTCTACTAAAAAATACAAAAAACTAGCCGGGCGAGGTGGCGGGCGCCTGTAGTCCCGGCTACTCGGGAGGCTGAGGCAGGAGAATGGCGTAAAAACCCGGGAGGCAGAGCTTGCAGTGAGCTGAGATCCGGCCACTGCACTTCAGCCTGGGCGACACAGCGAGACTCCCTCTCAAAAAAAAAAAAAAAAATTAGCTGGGTGGCCGGGCGCGGTGGCTCACGCCTGTAATCCCAGCACTTTGGAGGCCGAGACGGGCGGATCACGAGGTCAGGAGATCGAGACCACGGTGAAACCCCGTCTCTACTAAAAATACAAAAAAAATTAGCCGGGCGCGGTTGTGGGCGCCTGTAGTCCCAGCTACTCGGGAGGCTGAGGCAGGAGAATGGCGTGAACCCGGGAGGTGGAGCTTGCAGTGAGCCGAGATCGCGCCACTGCACTCCAGCCTGGGCGACAGAGCGAGACTCCGTCTCAAAAAAAAAAAAAAAAAAAAAAAAAGTAAAAAATAAATAAATTAATTAATTAAAAAAAAAAAATTAGCTGGGTGTAGTCGCGGGCACCTGTAATCCCAGCTACTCGGGAGGCTAAAGCAGGAGAATTACTTGGACCGGATGCAGGAGGCGGAGGTTGCAGTGAGCCAAGATCACACCATTGCACTCCAGCCTGGGTGACAGAGCAAAACTCTGTCTCAAAAAAAAAAAAAAAAAAAAAAGGAGCAGCATCTTGGAAGGAAGAGCTGAGACTGCTCTCCATATTGGGAAATTGAGACAAAGCCACAGGCTTAATGCACAGGGCTAGAGACAACCACTCAGATATCTGGATGGTCAAGACGCCCAGGCGTCGGCCCAGCTTAGCCACTGCTGATGCAGGGCAAATGATTTCCCTTCTCAGCTTCCTCATCTGTCAAATGGCATCTAATCTGAATGTGAGTGAAGTGTGCTGAGTACCACCCAAAGAGCCAGCACTGCCGCCAAGGACATACCTCTGTGATCAGACAGATCTGCATTCAAATTAGCAGCTTAGGGACTTTCACCTCCTGGAGCCTCAGTGTCCTCCTGAGTGAACTAGGATGCCAAGAATAGCTCCCTCTGAGGGTTGCTGGGTGGAGTTGAGACTTAGTGCAATGGGCTGCTAGGGAGGTACACTAAAAGAGACTGAGAAGAGGCCTGGGGCCATCCATACCTTGCAACTGCTGTAAAAGCAAAGCTCTCTGCAGCATGGAGCCGTTGAGGAGGGAGGCTGAGTTGGTGCCCTGGAGATTCAGAAGCGGCTGCTGTGGCTGCTGTGCGGGGAGGCCCCTGTGTGTTGGGAGGGGGTGTCAGAGGGTTATTTGGAAAGTCAGATTTTCCTTCTTCCCCGAGACTTCTCACCTCCATTCTCTGCCCCACTCTGTGGTAGACAGAGGACCCCTTGGGGTTGGAACGGGTGATCTCCAGGACTCAAATGGAGATGGCACTGGGAAAAAGGATGGGGATCGGGACCTCCGAGACATGGGTCTGAGTGGCAAGGCTGAAGCCATCGCCCCCGGAGGCGGAACTCACCGGCTTACAGTCATGGGCAACGGGGCCTGTGGTGGGGACTGCTGGAGCAGCTGCTGGAGCTGCAGTAACTGCTGCTGCTGCAATTGCTGCTGCTGGAGCTGCTGCTGCTGTAACTGCTGGAGCTGCTGCTGCTGCTGCTGGTTGAACATGATGGCTAGGGGCAGAAAGCAGAGTAAGGCCAGGGGTCCCCACTATGGGTCAGGCCTGCTCCCCTTCCATCCACGGCTACTCTCCCAAGCCACGGCCCGCGAGGAGCTTTCACAGCTGCACTCCCAGTCCTGCCAAGAGCCTGCCACACTCGCTTGGCCCATCCTTCCAAGTTACCTCCAATCCTGCCAGGGGCAAGATTCAACCATCCTACTGCCAATGCCCCCCAGACACTGCCAACAGCCCCTCCTTCAACTCCCTCCCTCTCTCCATTTCTGGCGGCTCCATCCTCCCACACTCAGCCTCAGCCTCTCTCTGCGCCCATCACTTCCCCACTCACACCCCCTTTTCAATACCGCAACCCTCTCCCGGCCCCGGGTGTCAATAACATCGGCACCCGTCCAACCCCATCACCGTGGTCCTGAGCCCCGTGGGACGGCTTCTCCCCACCATCGCCACCTCCTCGAGCCCCACTCCACCCTCTCCCACCCCGCCAGCCCCCTCCTCCGCAGACACAGCCAGCTCGCGCGCGGATCCCCACGATCCCGCCGCCCCCAGCCCCGCACCTCGCCTCCCCGCGCGCCCTCAACGCTCAAGTCGCCCCCACGGGTGGGCCGGCCGCCCAGCGCCCACACTCCGGCCGGGCGGCTCCGGCCCGCGGGCTCCCGGCCTCCCCGCGGCTTCTCCGGGGCCTGTGGGCTCGTAAGGCCCAAATATGGGCGGGGCCGGCCAGGGCAGCGCCCTCTGGGGGACGGGAGGTCCAGGCGCCACGAGCCGCGCCACCCGAGCCCGCCCAGTGCACCCGTCACGCTGCGGGGGCGGCTGCGGAGCGCGAGCAGGTGCCAGGGAGTCCTGGGCGGCGCACACCTTCCGAACCGCGTCCTCCGCATCGCGAAGGGAAGGCTCGAAGACCAAGGTCCGTCTGCCGCCCGGAAGGGTCAGCCATCCCGCGGGGGCATCGAGGGGGACTTCCAGAAGAACCTGTTTCCAACCGACCTCCCTGCGGCCGCCGTGGTCCTGCGATCCTGGGGCCCGCGCGGGGCTGCGGTGGGAGAGGGCGCGCAGTTAGCGGATGTACATTCATTCGAGGGACCCAGGCCAGGCGAGAGGACGGCCAAGGTCTTAAAGTCCGGCAGGAGTTTGCCCACGGAGGGGTGGAGGGGGAGTCCACCTCAAAGTCCTTTCTCAGTAAATTTGGCTAAGGAAGGAGTGGGTGAGGAGGGTCGAGTCCAATTATCAAAAAACAACCCTAGGGGCTGGGCGCGGTGGCTCCCGCCTGTAATCTCAGTACTCTGGGAGGCCGAGGCTGTAGGATCGATTGAGCCCAGGAGTTCGAGACCAGCCTGAGCAACACGGTGAAATCCCTCTCTACAAAAAATACAAACATTAGCCGGGCGTGGTGGCGGGCGTCTGTAGTCCCAGCTACTCGGAAGGCTAAGACAAAAGGATCACTTGAGCCCGGGAGGCACAGGCTGCAGTGAGCTGAGATCGCGCCACTGCACTCCAGCCTGAGCGACAGAGCAAGAGCTGTCAAAAAAATAAATAGTCCGGGCGTGGTGGCCCACGCCTGTAATCCCAGCACTTTGGGAGGCCGAGGCGGGCGGATCACGAGGTCAAGAGATTGAGACCATCCTGGCCAACGTGGTGAAACCCCGTCTCTACTAAAAATACAAAAAAAATTAGCCGGGCATGGTGGTGACTGCCTGTAGTCCCAGCTACTTGGGAGGCTGAGGCAGGAGAATTCCTTGAACCTGGGAGGCGGAGGTTGCAGTGAGCCGAGATCGCGCCACTGCACTCCAGCCTGGCGACAGAGCGAGACTCCGTCTCAAAAAATAAATAAATAAATAAATATTAAAAAATAAAAATTTTAAAAAGAAAAGGAGAGACAAAGAGAGCCCTGCTCCCTCATCCTGCACCTAAAATGGTCCTGCCCCCAAGGACCCCTTTAACAACCACCGTATCCCCCGTCCCCGCGCCGTAACAATCCTTGGCTACTAAGTAGTAATTCTTTTATTTATTTTTTATTTTTTTGAGATGGAGTCTCACTCTGTCGCGGAGGCTGAAGTACAGTGACGCCATCTGGGCTCACCGCAACCTCCGTCTCCGGGGTTCAAGTGGTCCCCCCGCCCTCAGCTTCCGGAATACCTAAGACTACAGGCGCGGGCCACCACTCCCGGCTAATTTTTGTATTTTTTAATAGAGACGGGGCTTCACCATGTTGGTCAGGCTAGTCTCGAACTCCTGAGCTCAAGTGATCCGCCTGCCTTGGCCTCCCAAAGTGCTGGGATTACAGGGGTGAGCCACCTCTCCTGGACTAAGTAGCAGTTCAGTCTCCCTTCTCTGTGGCTCCCTGCCTTGCGCGAGTCACAGCCCGGCGACTCCTCGCCCAGCCTTCCGCGCCGACGTTGGGCCGGCAGGGCGCGCGGGGGCGCTGGCGGCGCGCAGACCAGGGCAGGCGGAGCGCGTTGACTGAGGGTGCTCGGGCAGTAGAACTTGCGTGTCCATAAATCACTGCAGTCATGTGACGAGCACCGCTCCAAAGCTCTGGACTGGCTCTGCGGCAGACAGGTTGCGGCCGAGGAGCCTAACTCGGCCTGGACTAGCCGCGGAAGAGCTAGGACTTAGAGGCGCGAAAGTGACTCGGCGAGGCCGGAGGGCAGGGTGGCTTCCGGGGCCCGGGGGACGTCGGCGCTTATGAGTGAACAGGCTGCCTGGAGGGTGGGGACTTGGAACGCTGGGCTGAGGAGTAGGCTTTATCCCTTAAGGGTAGGGAGCACGGGGAAAAGGGTGTGAACCTCATGAGTGACAGCATCAAATCTGCCAATTAGAAAACCCGTTCCCGTGTAAACCAAGAGGGAAGCAGTGAGGAGAGATGGGCGAGTCAAGACTGCCCAGGCTCTACTGGGCACAGTGGGTCACCCCTGTAATCCCAGCACTTTGGGAGCTCCATGCGAGTGGATCACTTAAGGTCAGGAGTTCGAGACCAGCCTGGCCAATATGGTAAAACTACGTCTCTACTGAAAATACAAAAAATTAGCCGGGTGTGTGGCGGGCGCCTGTAATCTCAGCTACTCGGGAGGCTGAGGCAGAAGAATCGCTTGAACCCAGGAGGCAGATGTTGCAGCCGAGATCACATCACTGCCTTCCAGCCTGGATGACAGAGCAAGACTCCATTTCAAAAAATAAAAATAAAAGACTGCCCAGGCTGCCAAGCAAGCACGTTGACACCTTGATCTGGGTGCTAGCGTTGGAGAAGTCCAGAATTGAATCGTGACTCCCCTGCCTTGTGGCTAGGTGACACTGGCTGGGGGAGAGGCCTTTTAGCTGGTTTCCTCCTTAGTGAAATGTGTGCCCCCTCCCGGGGTGGTAAGGATGACATTACATAATGCTTAGCACTGGCACCTGGCACAGAAGTAGCTTAACAAATTGCCAAAGTGAAAAAACTAAAAATAATGCTTGTGCTGGTGAAGGTGGAAAGCCAGCACTAACTTCCTGTGTTGGTTCATCTTTTTTTTTTTTTTTTTTTGAGACGGAGTCTCGCTGTGTCTCCCAGGCTGGAGTGCAGTGGCGTGATCTCGGCTCACTGCAAGCTCCGCCCCCTGGGTTCACGCCATTCTCCCGACTCAGCCTCCCAAGTAGCTGGGACTACAGGCGCCCGCTACCACGCCCGGCTAATTTTTTTGTATTTTTAGTAGAGACGGGGTTTCACCGTGTTAGCCAGGATAGTCTCGATCTCCTGACCTCGTGATCCACCCGCCTCGGCCTCCCAAAGTGCTGGGATTACAGGCTTGAGCCACAGCGCCCGGCCTGGTTCATCTTTCTGGAAAGCAATTTGCAAATTTTATATCAAGAATCTTGAAGGCCGGGCGCGGTGGCTCAAGCCTGTAATCCCAGCACTTTGGGAGGCCGAGACGGGCGGATCACGAGGTCAGGAGATCGAGACCATCCTGGCTGACACGGTGAAACCCCGTCTCTACTAAAAAATACAAAAACTTAGCCGGGCGAGGTGGCGGGCGCCTGTAGTCCCAGCTACTCGGGAGGCTGAGGCAGGAGAATGGCGTAAACCCGGGAGGCGGAGCTTGCAGTGAGCTGAGATCCGGCCACTGCACTCCAGCCTGTGCGAGACTCCGTCTCAAAAAAAAAAAAAAAAAAAAAAAAAAAAAAGAATCTTGGGCCGATGTGGTGGCTCACGCCTGTAATCCCAGCACTTTGGGAGGCCCAGGCGGGCGGATCACCTGAAGTCAGGAGTTAGAGACCAGCTTGGCCAACATGGTGAAACCCCATCTCTACTAAAAATGCAAAAATTAGTCGGGCATGATGGCAGACGCCTGTAATCCCAGCTACTCTGGAGGCTGAGGCAGGAGAGTTGCTTGAATCCAGGAGCCAGAGGTTGCAGTGAGCCAAGATTGCACCATTGCACTCCAGCCTGGGTGACAAGAGCGAAACTCCATCTCAAAAAAAAAAAAAAAAAAAAAAATCTTGCACATGTTTTGCCCTTTGACCCAGTGACACCACTTGTAGGAGTCTAGCCTAAGAAAATAATCAGAAATGAGACTTTTACAAGATAGCAGGTTGTTCATGGAAACATTTATATATTCTTTTCTTTTTTCTTTCTTTTTTTTTTTAAGACAGGGTCAGCTGGGCGCGGTGGCTTACGCCTGTAATTCCAGCACTTTGGGAGGCTAAGGTAGTGGATCGCCTGAGGTCAGGGGTTCGAGACCAACCTGGCCAACGAAGTGAAACCCTGTCTTTACTAAAAATACAAAAAATTAGCTGGGTGTGGTGGTGGGCACCTGTAATCCCAGTTACTCAGGAGACTGAGGTAGGAGAATCGCTTGAACCTGGGAGGCAGAGGTTGCAGTGAGCCAAGATCGTGCCATTGCACTCCAGCCTGGGAAACGAGAGCAAAACTCCGTCTCAAAACAAAACAAAAAAAAGAGGCCGGGCACGGTGGCTCAAGCCTGTAATCCCAGCACTTTGGGAGGCCAAGGCGGGCGAATCACGAGGTCAGGAGATCGAGACCATCCTGGCTAACATGGTGAAACCCCGTCTCTACTAAAAATACAAAAATAATTAGCTGGGCGTAGTGGCGGGCACCTGTAGTCCCAGCTACTCGGGAGGCTGAGGCAGGAGAATGGCATGAACCCGGGGGGCGGAGCTTGCAGTGAGCCGAGATCGCGCCACTGCACCCCAGCCTGGGGCACAGAGCAAGACTCCGTCTCAAAAAAAAAAAAAAAAGAGAGACATGGTCTTGCTCTGTCTCCCAGTCTGGAGTGCAGTGGAACGATCACAGCTCACAGCTCACTGCAGCCTTTCCCTCCCTGGCTCAATGGAGCCTCCTACCTCAGCCTCCTGAGCAACTGGGACTACAGGCCCATGCCACCATGCCCAGCTAATTTTTGTATTTTTTTTTTAAAGACAGGGGTTTCACTATGTTGCCCGGGCTGGTCTTGAACTCATAGGATCAAGTGATTCTCCTGCCATGGTCTCCCAAAGTGCTGAGATTACAGGCGTGAGCCACCACACTCAGCCAAAACATTATTTATAATAGCTGTCTGGAAAAGAATCAACTTTAGGGGAATAGCTAAATAAGTCATGGTGTCACCTTTTAAGGAACAGTGCACAGCCATCAGAAATTATGTTTTCAAAGGATAAACACCCACAATATGATGTGAAGTGAGCTCACCAGCTTATAAAATGCAGGCACATTACCATCCCA